ATAAAAGTATAGTTATTGTAAAAATAAAAATAAAAATAAAATTATAAAGAATGTGTAAAAAAAAAATGTATAATGTATGTGTGTGGGGCTCTGTTAAATAATGGTAAGTCATTAGTCTTAGTATCTGATTAGATTATCTGAATATATAACATGCAACAGTGTATTGGCTCTAGATGAATGGACACCTCGATTGTTTTTGAGGTATACTTATAGATATATTATTTATAATCACTTTTACCGAAAGAAATATACATACTGAAATTTCATTAGTCTACATGATGTCAAACAGCGAGAAGAAGATAAAGTCCCAAAAACAGTGGATACATGCCTCAAGAATATATAATGCATGGCCTATTTTCTGTACAATATTATGTGTTGGAATCATGGTCAAGAAAGAATCAGTGGACGGAGAAAAATTTCTCCTTCTGTATCATATAAGGAGAAATTACGTGTCTTCTAATTTATTATGGAAATCGTATGCAAAGATTGATTGATTTACGTCGAGATGATAACGACATTGATTTGATTAGTGGACAATTGTTAATTACAGGCTTTGACAAAATGTTGAGAGAGAATGCCATTATTGGATTTTGAATTGGAAGAACCCTATATTCTCAAAACAAAATCATTAGATGCATTCATATTAGTTGTGTGTAGATGAAGACCACAATAACAAAACAGAGAAATGGACATTGACATTGTGAATCACGTAATTTCTAGGGTTTTATGGCCTGCATTAGGTTCAATGAGCTAATGCTGATTTTCATCGAATGGAGGCACGTTGGTAATATATGAGTATATTGAATGTGTAGTGGACACCATGATTATATCTAAGTAGGATTGGGACAAGACGAGTGATGGCATGACAGAACATTCAATTCGATTGGCATAGGAATGAACATGCACTGACACAACAAATCTTTCATTAAAAACGATTGATTGGTTGTGCATATTTTCAGATTTGTGAAAGAATATTGGTAGGGTCAGAAAAGCATGATCGCAAAATGAACACATTTATGAGAAAATGGGAGGACCATGAATGAAATGTGTTGGGTCCACAATAAAGAAGATGCAACACGAACCTTAATGTCACGACAAACCTAAAACCCAACTTGATGTCACAACAGCGGTGGGAACGAATATATTTGCTTGTTGAAGTGGAGCTGAACAAAGTATAGATACAATGTTTTTGGAGAATGACGAACCAAATGCACGCATATATATCAAAATAACGTTATCTAGAAATGATTCATTACGTCTTCTGAAACATATGTTATTTTTATGCTTATATAAATGTATTCTATTAATATTTTGATCAATCGGAATAATCTTCAAAATCAGTCTTTTTTCATAAAATGTCTTTTTAGTGTATAAAAGGTTCAAACTAAGCAATTTCATTTTTGTTTAACTTAACTAAAGTGGAGTGTAGTTAATTAGGTAAAGAGATATTCGTTTTCAAGGTGTATCCCATGATTCTAAATAAAAATAGATCAGAAGTTTTGAATTATGCGGAGATTTTAAAGAAATTCATCCAGGTTGTGTCTCCATGATTGCTTTGCACGAACTAAGTGGGCCGGTGATACATTTTTCATAATTGCTGTAATATTTGTCACGAGGGTCTTTGAAGGTGGAGTTCAATATGAAAAGATTGGGGAGAACATGAGTTAAAAGAAAAGAAAAAAAAGTTGAGTTTCTAACTTGCAAGGAAATATAAAAGTACAAGTGCGCTTGCTGCAATCATACTCACTATATCTATAAATAAAAGTAGTATATACATTATCATATATAATTATACCCTTCTGACTTGCTAACTTGAAAGGTTATAAAGGGGCTTTGAAAGCTAAATTTCTGGAAAAAAAAGGGTAAGTCAGTAAGTTTCAACCACAAAAATGATGGTAAATCCTCTCTTTTTGTAAGAAAAACAATCATCCACATACAAAGTGTTGATGAAGGCTAGATGTGAAATGCCATAAATGTGAACAATTAAGGCATGTGAAGAAAAGCTGCAAGTCATCAAAAACACAAGAGAATCTTGTTGAAGAAGGTGAAGAAGAAGAACTTTTTGTTGTTTCTTGCTTTGCTACTGCAAGATCAATAGAAAGTTGGCTAATTGATAGTGGTTGGACGAATCACATGACTTATGATCGAGAATTATTCAAAGATCTTGATGCAACCTACAACACAAGTGTCAGAATTGGGAACGGAGCAAAAATAGCAGTGAAGGGCAAAGGAACCATCGCGATCAAAGGTTGCACAAGTTTGAAATTAATTACTGATGTTTTATACGTTCCTAAAATTGACCAATTGAGTGTTGATCAACTTCTAGAGAAATGCTATAAAGTTCTATTTGAAGATAAAACCTACATGATTAAAGATTCAGATAATAAAGAATTATTCAGAGTTCAAATGAAAGGCAAGAGCTATGCTTTGAATTTGATTGATAAAGAGCAGTTTGATGTGCACAAAGTTGAAGACAACATGCAGGTACAAGGTAAGGACATGAAGATTAAGCAAAAAATTGTGACCGGGACTTCCAAACGTGAAGAAATTTTAGATGATACGGTCAAAGACGAAAAAACTTAGTGTATGACTTTGAGTCAAGGAGGAGTTTGTTGAAATTTTATGACTCAAACACTATTTGGTTGGAGGAGTTAAATAAGTTAAATAAAAATAAATTCCTATCTTATTTTTTTAGAAGTATTTTATGTATTATTTAATTAATTAGATTTATTAGATATTTCTGAAAGTTAGTTTATGCTAAATAAAATATATCATACTTTAAAACCCAACATATACATTATGATATATAATTATACCCTTCTGACTTGCTAACTTGAAAGCTTATAAAGAAAGCAGATGCATCTGCCACCCCATATTGTCTCTCTTTGTTTCCCTTGCGAAAAGACATGGCTTCATTTTACTTCTTCATTTTGCACCTATCTTTCTTTTCCCTCTTTCTTCATTGCTCTCCTTATTATATCATCCAAGGTGCTACCCATGAAAATCCCAAAGCTTTTTATAACTGCACAAGGAACACCACTTCTGCTTCCTACAGCGTGGCTTACCGTTCTAACGTCAAAACACTCCTAGATTGGCTCTCCTCCAATGCCACTAACCATGACAGATTCTACAACACCACAGTTGCCAGTGGACACACAGCAAACACTGCCTATGGTAGCTTCCTTTGTACCAGAGGCTTCCCTAAACTCTGCCAACAATGCGTGACAGAAGCTGCCAAACTTCTATCATCACTTTGCACCATTGCAAAAGAGGCTATTATATGGTACGAAGCGTGCTATGTGCGCTACTCTGATAGTTCTTTCTTCTCCGCTGTGGAGGAAAGTCCTAAACTCTCCTTTACGAATGATCAGGACTATAAGGGTCCGGTTGAGCGCTTCAACGTTATTGTGTGGGATATGCTGAGCGATTTGAGAAATGAGGCAGCAAGTGCTTCTGATAAATGCGCTGTTAAGTCTGTGAATATCTCAGATAACCAAAAGTCTTATGGCTATGTTTGGTGCCTACCATACCTGTCCAAAGACAAGTGCAGATGGTGTCTTAGCGAAGCCATAGCAAACAATCCAAACGGTTGCTGCACAGGAAAATCTGGTGCAACAGTAATATTTCCCAGTTGTGGTATTAGATACGAATTATATCCATTCCTTTTGGTACATAGTAGTTTGGTGTCTCCTCCACCACTTCTCAACATTCCTCCTCCTTTTGCTTCACCAGGTTAGGTAGCTAATAGCTATGATTTTCTCTGGAAATCCGTTTCCTCATCTATTAACAGAAAAATAGAGAAAATTCTGGAAGTGTTAATTATATGATGTAACAGGTATATTGAGTTGTTTAGAACGTAGGGTGTCTAAGATCATTACCATTATCACAATTTTGTGACTGTTTCATACACTAGACATGAGATAAGTTAAGGAATTTGGCAAAACAAAGGGGTTAACGGGAGAAACACAAACACAGACCAGATATGAACCCAATCATATAAGGGATTGATACCATTCTTTATCCAAAACCTTAAGTTAATGGATTAATGAGTACTCTTTACCCAAAATCTTAAGTTAATGGATTAACGAGTCTTTCTTTTTATATAATACTCTACTTTCTCATTTTTAATAGTACTTAGACTCACACTTATATTCCAACAATAAGTTACTATCAACCAATGACTGTGACGTGACAAGGATATATCTACAACACCTTGAGAAACCATCAGTTGTATGATAGCCAGGGACTTGGAAATATATATTCATTGTGCCTTTTATTGTCAGCCAGGCTCTTTTCTTCCATTTCATCACTCCAGAGCAATATCAGTCATGAGAAATATATTGTTTTAGTTGCGTGATAAACAGTACTTCTTGCTGCAAGAAATGATTCAAGGTATTAATATTCTTGCAGGGAAAAGAAAACAGAGGACACTAACAATAATTGTGACGGTTCCAATTGTTGTTTCACTGGTGCTTTTATCCTTTGGTTGCGGCTGTATTCTACGAAGGAAAGAATCAAAGATTCAACACGATATTCTCAAAGAAAGCTGTAATATAGAAAAAATACACTTGTTTTTTTTTTTNTAACGGGAGAAACACAAACACAGACCAGATATGAACCCAATCATATAAGGGATTGATACCATTCTTTATCCAAAACCTTAAGTTAATGGATTAATGAGTACTCTTTACCCAAAATCTTAAGTTAATGGATTAACGAGTCTTTCTTTTTATATAATACTCTACTTTCTCATTTTTAATAGTACTTAGACTCACACTTATATTCCAACAATAAGTTACTATCAACCAATGACTGTGACGTGACAAGGATATATCTACAACACCTTGAGAAACCATCAGTTGTATGATAGCCAGGGACTTGGAAATATATATTCATTGTGCCTTTTATTGTCAGCCAGGCTCTTTTCTTCCATTTCATCACTCCAGAGCAATATCAGTCATGAGAAATATATTGTTTTAGTTGCGTGATAAACAGTACTTCTTGCTGCAAGAAATGATTCAAGGTATTAATATTCTTGCAGGGAAAAGAAAACAGAGGACACTAACAATAATTGTGACGGTTCCAATTGTTGTTTCACTGGTGCTTTTATCCTTTGGTTGCGGCTGTATTCTACGAAGGAAAGAATCAAAGATTCAACACGATATTCTCAAAGAAAGCTGTAATATAGAAAAAATACACTTGTTTTTTTTTTTCATAACCTCAAGAAGCACTTTCTTTAGCTAAATAACTGAATTGAAGTTTCTTTGCCGTAGTTGGAAATGACAGTACCTCTTTGGAGTCCTTGCGATTTGAATTAGTCAAAATTGAAGCTGCAACAAATAGATTCGCTAAAGAAAACATGATAGGCAAAGGCGGATTTGGGGAGGTTTACAGGGTAAATATTTACCGAGTTCCAAGTTAAAAGATAATAGTTGTATACTTATTTTCCAAACTAACGGTATATTTTTCAGGGTATTTTTTCAGATGGAAAAGAAATAGCTGTGAAGAGGCTTACTGGAAGCTCTCGGCAGGGTGCAGTAGAGTTTAAAAATGAAGTTCAAGTTATAGCTAAGCTTCAACACAGAAATTTAGTAAGATTACTCGGATTTTGCTTGGAAGACGATGAAAAGATACTCATTTATGAGTATGTACCAAACAAGAGTCTTGATTATTTTTTATTAGGTATGATACTCTAAACTATTATAAACAAAAGATATTTGGATGATGATGACTTTTATAGTTTATTCTAATCTGAAATCAACACTGATCATTCTATAAAATTTGACTTTATTGCTAGATATCAAGAAGCGAAGATTGCTATCGTGGTCTGAACGACTGAATATTATAAAAGGAATAGCACGAGGAATTTTATATCTGCATGAAGATTCTTGTTTAAAAATAATACACCGTGATCTAAAACCCAGTAATGTTTTATTAGATAGTAATATGAATCCAAAAATTTCTGACTTTGGAATGGCTAGAATTGTTGCCGGAGATGAGATCGAAGCAAGTACGGGCAGAATTGTAGGAACATAGTAAGATGGATTCTATTTCATTCACTTAATATGTTATGATTTAGCTGACAAACATTATCATTGTTATTGAGTGACACATTTTGTCATGTTTTATATACAGTGGTTACATGTCTCCAGAATACGCCATGCATGGACAATTTTCGGTGAAATCTGATGTATTTAGTTTTGGTGTTATGGTTCTGGAAATTATTAATGGAAAGAGGAAAGGTTGCTCGTCTGAACCAGAGGTTATTGATGACATCCGCAGACATGTAAGTAGGAAATTTATTCTATTTACATTTAGTGAATAGAAAAAATATGGGATTGAGAGTTTGATTTGATTGATTGAGATATGGGAATTGTAGGCTTGGACAAAATGGAGAAAGGAAACAGCACTAGAAGTGTTGGATCCTGAGATAGAAGGAGCTTATTGTGGTGAAGAAGTGATGAAATGTATCCAGATCGGTTTGCTGTGCGTTCAAGAAGATCCAAACGATAGGCCTACAATGGCAAGAGTTGTGCTTTATCTCAATAACCCTTCAATTAACTTGCCTTGCCCTCATGAACCAGGATATGTTAAGCATAACAGACAACAAGTCAACATCACCACCGATAAAGAATTCGATAATGTCAGTGATTCCGTCAACGAAATTTCTCTAACTAAATTCTTTCCTCGATAACACAATGCTAAGAGTCTTTGCTGTCTTATTTGTTGCTTGTGCTAAACAGAATTCAACCATAGGCATTAAGTTGTAACAAATCCATGAAAACATTTACATTTTCTAATAGACAAGTTTAGAAAATTGCTACAGTAAAACTTCAATTTTGGTACTGACTTCTTCAGATATTCATCATAAATCTCAAAATTTGAATTTGGGCATCACCGAGTTCTTCAAAAATTCATCATAATTAGAATTCGAACATTATTCTTGAGTTCTTCATAATAATAAAATTCAGAATTTTGTAAATAGGTAGTATAAAATGGTCCATTTGACCCTGCTGTAACTCTTTATGCATTAATTTATGTTATTCCCTTTATTGAAATCATGTTGCGGCCAATTTGAGAGGAAATAATATAGTTTTGTGGATTTTTTTTCCTCTTTTATGTATTGCTCATTTTTATCAAATGTCGGATTCTAACTCAGGTTGTATCAGAAAAAAAATCAACAACTTGTTAAATATAACGTGAACTGGAATTATTTTATATATCTAGATATAAATTGACATTTTATTTTGACAAACTATTATAAGTTGGGAGTCAGTGGAAGCATATAAAATCATTAAACATGGTAGACTCATGTAAAAGAAAGTTATCCACAAACAGAAGTTCATAAATTCATTCATATTGATTTAGTGTGTTAAAAAAATCCAAATGTTAAATGCACAACTGGCAACAATTATTTCACATCTTAACAGATTCACTACAATAGCCGTCTCCACAAGAATAATAGAAAATGTCGGGTTGTAAGGCTTCTAAATTTAATTGGGATGGGGCTGTTATAACATAAATACGGAGCTGTTATAATTTTTATAAACCTAAACTTACGTCAGAACAATTTTTCAAAGAATTCTAGACTTTAGATAAAAGTATTTTAAAAAAAATATAAAATAATTAAAATATTTTAGGAATTCAAGAAAATTAAGTTGAAAATTTTATATTAATTAAAAATAAATAAAACAAATAATATATATAAGTAGAATGTTTTACAATTTGTTTTTTAAAGTTTTGAATTTAAAGTAGTATTATGATATTTTATATAAGGTAAAGTAAGTGGGTCACTGTCCAAGAGTCAGTCTACTGGTATGTCAAAAACAAAGTGGATTGGATTAACATTTTCAACGCTCAATTCGTTTTGATTCATCTTACCTATCAAATTGGAGAAATAGACCAATTCTCAAGTTGAGCCGCGCAAGCCAGATAGTTCTTCTCCTGCCAAAGGTGATGTTCCTATTCCTGCAATATTTGAATGCATACATAACATGTTTAATCTTCTTCCCAACCTAATAATCCTATCTTATAAGGTTATTTTTATTTGGTAGTCTAAGAGAGCATGCGCTAATCTGATTGATTACAGTGTGAAAAAGTGCATTTTCATTTCTGTTTCTATCTTTATCAGTTTTCAACAAATTAGCCCTAAAATATCTATGCATTATGTAAGTTTTGCATTTCAACAAAACCTATACTAGGTATACTATAACCCATTTTTCCTAATCCAACATCCTCGTATAACTCTTTTTGAAAATTAACGTGTAAATAACATTGATTACATAGGTTTCGGTTGAGTAAATTATAATACAACGGAATTATGGAAATTAACATAGTTGAAAAAATACCCAACTCACTCACTTAGTGAGCTAATCCAACACTACTCACTTAGTTGAAAAAATTTGAACCTGGTCCGAGGTTAAACGGGTTGGCTCACTAGCTCACTCAATTATAAATTTTTAAAATTAAAAGAAAATTATAATTCTTTTTAATTCAAATATAAATAAATTTCATTTTAAAATGATGTTAAAACTCCAAAGACAATTCAAAATAAAAAAAATCATACAATTCAGTGTAATCCAAAAACAAGTACAAAATATGAACAAATAAGTTTTTAAAATTAATAATTTGTTGTATCACTTGTCCATTTATAATATTTGAGTCTTAAATAAATAAATATATAATATTTTTCTTTCTTAAAACATCTTGTTTTTATCCCCATTTACAATATAATAAAAAAATATTAACTAATAATATTGAAACACAAAATAATAAATAATTAAACTAAAAATTAGGTGGGTTAGTGACCCGGTTCACCACGGATTTAACCTGGGTGAGTAGATTTTTAAGTGAGCTGGGTTGAAAACTAATCCGCATAAAAATATTACATTTTTTTTAAAATTCAACCCAACTCAAATCCATAATGAACTAGATTGACTCGCGGATTATAACCTATTTTTACACCACTATTTTTTTTTTTTCTTAATCTAAATAGAACAGTTGAGTGTGTCGCTCCTGTAGTAACAAAAAAAATCTACTAAATTGAAGCATCTGGCTTCATCATTAAATAATTTAATAGGATGTCAGAGTGCATAAATGAAATTTCATTCAATTGAGATACCATGACAAATTCAACAAGAAATTAAATGGTAGGAGTAAACATAACGTCCATACTTTTTTACTGGAAAATTATAAAATACTGAAAAATATACTTTTCCAATAAAATAAATTAAAATTTATATAAAAGATCATGTTAAATGTCTATTTCTTATTCGTTGTTGTAGCATAATTTTACGAGATATTTGTAATCTGCTGCTTATCAACTTTCAATTCAAGTTGGTTTTAATTTTCTGGCTAACTTTTGTAAAACATATTCCTAAATAGTTAATGAATTTTTTTTCACTAAACTATAAGATACAATATGTAGAAGTATATTATAAATATACCTTTTTTAATTTTTATGTTTTAAAATTTTATTATAAATATACAATTTATTAATATTTTATTAATACTTTTGATACAAGTTTCTAAACGGGCCAGTAAACTTGACCAAATAATCTCCTAATAAATATGTGCTGATCCATTCTTATTTATATTTTAAGTGGTTTGCAATTTTTAGGTAAAACCTAATCTGATTTGGAACCAATATATATTCAAACATATTTTTAAAAAGTAAACAAATAAAAAATAAAATAAAATATTTACTTTTAAAATGTAAATAGTGCTAACAAAATTCATTTTGATTTTAAATGAAATAATTTAATATACATATTGTAATACACACATAATATTTTTTCAAGTACAATTATTATTTTATCAAATAAATATCTCAATAAATCTACATATTATATCGATTTAAGCTTATTTATATTGTAGCGTAGAATAGGACTAACATGTTTTTACCTACCAAAATATCTTTGAATTAAATTAAGATTTATTTAGTAATAAACTAGTTGAAAGAAATAAATTCTGTTTGACAGAGCATGTATATATGTCAAAATTTATCTAACAAATTGAAAAGTAATGAATTGAGTTTCTTGGATGGAGTTTTGGTATAGTAAATGAAGCGGCAGAAGATGAAAAAGAAAAGAAAAAATGTAAATTATGAAAAAGGCTATGAAATTTCTTATATGTTTAAGAGAGTTGTAAGAAATGGATTAATGGAGACCTCAGTTCCAGTTTTGGTAAATGAAACCTGACCTAAATTCTACCCATTAATAAAATCTATTATTCAACGTGGGAGATATATAGTATGAATGGGCTGCACCCAATCATATTTTCGTTACTGAGACCAATATTCACTGCACCTAAAATTTCTAAACTTTTTTATCAATAGAAAATAATTAAATTAATAAAGTAGAAAATTTAGGGTAATATACCACCTTATTTACTCCTAATTTTTATCTTTGCAATCTCATAATGATTTGAGGCCAAGGTTGTGATCAATCACATTAACCTTATATTTAAGAGCATCTAAAAACTTGATTTGGTATATATTAAGAGCATGAACGACAACTGTCCATTCGCACATAATGCTATGTCATACGTATTTTTCTCATTTCCCTGAGTGTTACGGCGACAGAATCACAGAGCTACAATTAAATTAATCAAAATTTTGACCTTTTAAATCATCTTAGAACTTTACCTATTTATTGAAAAAATCTAACTTTAAAACGTTTAATTAAAAAGGCATAAACAATCAATTAAAATAAGAAAAATAGATAATAAAAAACTCAAAGAGCCGAAACTATAATTGAGATGAATAATCATAAAATATTAGTAGGTAATTTTTTTATTTTTCCCGTTTGATTTTTTTAGTAAATGGAAAAGTAAATAATAATTTTAATATTTTCTATAGAAATCTCTGAAAGAAAAATATGATTTTATAATAATAAAATAAAAAATACCAACAAATACCTATCTTAGATGACGAAAGACTATTTTGCGTGGAAACGTTTGGAACACGCGAGAAAATAAACGATGAAAAGTCTTCCTAGAATGACGGACTCGACTCCATGTGTGGAAAATTTCCTTGTTGTACTGTTTTCTTTCTCCAGTTTTTATTATATAAAGATGGACCAAAAGTCTCCTCAAAATGATTCAGGTGTGTTTCGGTGGATACTTTTAGGGACCGAGAGACTAACCTGCTGACACGTCTGGGCCGCTCGCTTGCTTCCAAACTCCTCCTGTTGGCCGATCGGTGTTGGCGCAAACCGATCGGTCTCCTTCTTGACGAGGGTGGATGTACCTGCAAAAGGTACTCCGACGCTCAAGTTAGGCGTGTGATTTGAAGAGCCTCGGCTCTTGGTTGAATATTTAGTGAATGATGCGTAAGTGAAAACGTACCTGGCTTTTGGCCCTGGCTTTGTATTTATAATTTACCTCATGGATCCTGAGCTGATATAAACCCAATAAAATATAAACAGAATAAGATATAAACAGATTACCTAAATATCCGGTTGGTTGTTTGTAACCGCTCGGTTAATATTTCATACTATACAAGGTGCAATGTTGGGCAATTTTCTTATTGTACTGCTTTTCCTGATTTTTTTAACAAAATTAGCAAAATATGACGTAGGAATAGGAAAATCTTTTTTTAACAATTTTTTTACCATTGTGATGTGTCTCTTTCAAAAATATAGGGATTAATCAAATAATGACAATTGTAAAAGAATTGTTAAAAAAATTATTAATATATCAAAGCAAAAATAACATATACTTAAATTATTAAAGTATACTATACGAGAAAGAAAATGTTATTTTAATAATTTTTTTACAATGTGTTAACTTGTGATAACACATTGTGATTGTTCGGTTTCAAATATACATATTAATAAAATAATAACACAGTCTATTGTCAAAAAGTTGTTAACATATCTTGGTCGAAAAATACTATTAAAAAAAAGAAATTTTTTTTTTAACAAATTCTTTTTGACAAATTTTTATAATAATATATGTGGTAATTCGTGATTCATCTTTTTGAAATATATAGTCACAATAAAAAAATTGTTAACATGATCCTGAAAAAGATTATGTTTTTCATTCGGTTGTCAGCGTCCTAAAGAAATTATTTAATAGAACCCGTTACCATTTATTATATCATACTCTTAAGACCGAGTTACGGGTAAGAAAAAATTTAGTATAATAGATAAAAGTCTTTGTTTCGTGACCCTTAAATTCTACTCCATCTCATCACAAGAACCATACTCAAAGAACCATTCTTGAACTCATCCATGGCTTCGTATCTAAAATACGTGATACCCTTTATATTTTCTATCATTTTCAACTTCTGTGCCATTAGAGCACAGGGCCTTTCTTATCAGTACCAAGTTTGTTCAACAAACAAATTCATTCCCAATAGCACCTTCCAAAGCCACCTCACAACCCTCTTCTCTTCCTTAACTTCTGAAGCCTCCAACAATGTCCAATTCTTCAACAACACCATCACGGGGACAAACTCTTCCTACACAGTCTACGGATTATTCATGTGCAGGGGTGACATCCCCTCCGACATGTGTAATCACTGTGTCGGAAACGGAACACAGAGACTATCCGCAGACTGCGCCTTGTCCAGAGCAGCAGTGGTGTATTACGATGAGTGCATAGTTAGGTATTCCAACCGTTCTTTCTTCTCCACCCTAACCATGCAAGCTGGTTATGCCCTTTGGAACCCCACCAATATGACCAACCAAGAAAGCTTCAAGATTTTACTGTATGACACCATGAACAAAACTGCGGATGAAGCAGCCCATTTTCCTACTGGTTCTAAAAAGTTCGCCACAAGGGAAACAAGCATAGACATATTTCAGAAGCTCTATTGTCTTACTCAGTGCACACAAGACCTGTCTCCCGGCGATTGCAGAAGCTGTCTGGATAGCTTGATAAACTTGGATCTTCCGGACTGCTGTGCAGGATCCCAGGGAGGAAGAGTTTATTACCCGAACTGCATCATCAGGTTCGAAATTTACCCTTTTTTTCGATCCCTTTCAACGGCACCAACACCATCACCGGCAGGACTCGTTCCTCCGGCCAATTCAGGAGGTGAGTTATGTTTAATATTATATGCTTCTATCATCTCTATGGCTGAATTAAGATTTGAGCTTTGACTATTAGTATTATCATTAATTTATTATATATCCTTTCACTGATTTTGCTTTCTTGTCTTGTAGAATGCAGTTCTGTTTATTATTATCCGCAATCAATCGCATATGTTATAATTTTGTATACGAATGACATATAAACTTCTTGTGCAGAAAATGAAAGAAGTCGATCTCGAACAATTACCTTAATTGTTGTTCCCATAGTTAGTTTGGCGACTTTCTTGAGTCTAATTTACTACATTCTCAGGAGAAGAGCGAGAAAGCTTCGTAAGATTCTTCTTAGAAAAAATTGTATGTATTACAATTCTAAAAGAAACTTCAGTTTTAATTATTGATTCTAAGACTTTAAAAAGTTCATAAACTTATAGTTCATACATATCGGTTCAGTTGGGGAAGAAAGTTCCACTCTAGAAGGATTGCAATTTGCTTTGGCCACCATTCAAGTAGCAACAAATAATTTTTCCCTTGAGAACAAGATTGGAAAAGGTGGATTCGGAGAGGTTTATAAGGTAAGAAAATATGATAAATTCATATCTTAGTAATATTTTTTAAATAATGGTTTTTTGTATAATAAATTTATATTTTAGTTAATTTTTTAAAATTATGGTTTTTGTTTACAGGGTATTCTTATTGATGGACGACATATAGCTGTTAAAAGACTTTCAACAAGTTCTAGACAAGGTTCAGTCGAGTTTAAAAATGAAATTTTATTGATAGCCAAACTCCAACATAAAAATCTTGTAGCGTTGGTAGGATTTTGTTTGGAAGAAGAAGAGAAAATCCTTATTTACGAGCATGTATCAAAAGGTGGTCTGGACTACTTTTTATTTGGTAAACAATTTTTAACTTTAAACTTTTCAATCAATTTAAATTATTCATTTGTGTAACTCAACTTAACATATAGACGTAAAATATTACTTACTTATCTTTTTTTATTTGATATATCAGGAAATCCAGAAGAGAAGTTAAGTTGGTATCAACGCTATAATATTATCAAAGGAACTGCTCTTGGAATTCTTTATTTACATGACTATTCTCGACTCAAAATTATTCACCGTGATCTTAAACCAAGTAATATTTTATTAGATGAAAATATGAATCCTAAAATTTCAGATTTTGGATTGGCTAGAATTATAGACATAGAGCAAAATCGCGTGGAAACTAATCGAATAGTTGGAACATAGTAAGTTTTGAATTCTAACTCATTAATTTTTTTTTCAGTCTTTTACGTGATACGATTTGACTATATTTTTTTACAGTGGTTATATGTCACCTGAATATGCAATGTTTGGACAATTCTCCGAAAAATCAGATGTTTTTAGTTTTGGAATTATCATTTTTGAGATTATTACTGGTAAGAAAAATGGAAATTCTTATGGACCAAACCAAGGTGAAGAAGGCTTGATGACCAATGTGAGTATAATCATTTCCTATATATAATCTAAGAAAAAAATGCAACAACTTCAATATTTAATTACTTTGATTTCGTTGCAGGTTTGGACAAATTGGACGAATCGAACACCATTGAGTATACTTGAATCAAATATGAAAGAAAAATATTTTCAAAGTGAAGTGATTCGTTGCATTGAAATTGGTTTATTATGTGTCCAAGAAAATCCAGACGTAAGACCTACAATTGCAGAAGTTGTTTCTTATCTTAATGATCTGACACTTGAATTGCCATCTCCTCAAGAACCAGCATTTTTCTCCCATGCAATAGATCCAAAAATAGTCATGCAACAGCAGGGGTCAAGTTCCAACTCTTCTGTCATTGCTTCTATACCATTTTCTATCAATGAAATGTCTATCAGTGACTTTTATCCACGATGATATGTTAGCTTTATTCTAAATATATCTTTACTTTGTAGATGGCTATCATCTATGAGTAATTTTCATTTTTAATAATGTGACCGTTTTGAAAAAAAAATTCTTATGTGATTTTAAAGTAACTTGTTCTATTACACGAGAAATTAGGCTCTCTTTATTTAATGTGTTATCTGTTAAAAGGGATTGATTAATTTGGAGTAGTTAAGAGAAAAATGGAAATCAATGTGGTTTCATTTAATGAAAGGATTAGAAATTTGAAGTTTTGCTTCTATTTTTTATGTACTTATGTCATGTGTTTGATTAATACAACTCAAAAGTCGAACTATGTAAGATAAAAAAGATAAAAGAAACCATGCTTACCAAATAAAACTTCAATAAAAAAAAATGAAATGAAATTGTGTATTTTAAACACAGTGTTTGTATTATAAAAAAAAAAATTAAAGATTGAAATTGCATTTGTAAATACAACTCCTTCAGGACAAAGTAATGTTCTCGAAGCATCATTCACTCAATTTTGTATTTTTTCTACAATTTGCTAATTACGCTAATTTCTTTGATAAATTACAATAGAATGATAAAGATTTCACCTATCTACGAAAAAAAATCCTTTGTAAAAACATTCACAAACAAAACAAATTCATACAAAAAATCAAAAAAATATTTTTAATCTAAAATTTTAAAATAATAAATCTACGGCTTTTTTAATATTTATATATTTCACTTTAATATTTTCTACTAATATATAAGATTTATAATTTACCTTAAATTCTTAGTAGATACTAATAAAATATATTATCATTATGCATATACAGTTTTTTTTAAAGTAAATAAATAAATATTTATATAAGTTGCATATACTTTTCACACTCGAAAGAAATAGTGTAAAATACCTAGTGAAATAAACGAAGAAAAATCCTGGTTCATTTTATAAAAAAGGCGGAACATAGGTGATGCTTATCCCATTTCTCAATCCGTGTGAAAAGGGGAAAAAATTACGATATTAAGCAATCAAAACCACTAAACATAAAGATGAATCTTTGAAGATAAATTACCCCAAAATGTATAGAACCAAAGCACACTAATTGGAAGTCAAATTCATATGCTGCAGGACAATTTAATATGATAAAGATAAAATACCAAAACATGGACCAAAGTGTATAACTTCTTCACCATTTTAAAATCGGATATGAGAGGCAACAAACAATAGAAAGTTTGAAAGTTCAAGCATTGAAAACTTCATACACAAATTCTGAAACAATTATTACAACAATAAACAAACCCCCGTCTCTTTCATAAGTAAGTCAATTGTTCCCCACCCAAACACAAAATTTAATCAAAATTTTAATTGTTTGCATATTTGGTTAAGGATAAATATGAAAATGAAAAAAAAAAACTTATTTATAATAAACAAAAATTGATCCATAAAACTAGCAGATGAGATTTTAAAAATGACTTTAATATTTATATTAAAAGTAAATTTTAAATCTAATTTAATTTTATAAAATTAAGTTTGTATTTATTTATATATTTTTAATTAGTCTAGTTAACGTCCGACTTTCAAATATATATAAACAAATCAAAATTATAATGAAAGAAAAAAGAATGAAATCCTGAAAAAAAAATTTCCCTGTTTCTGATATTTCTCAACATCAAAAAGTGGTGGAAAACGTAATGGATGCGAAAGAAAATAAATACGGAGAGTGAAGTGCAACGTGTGGACAATTTTCTATCCGTACCCGTAGTTGGTAATATATTTATCTCCGTTAATAATTTGTGGGGTCCACTTCGAGTAGATATTCTATTTAGGTTTCATACCTCTTTTCCTTCATTATATATATTTTTTTCCATTTCTTTCATAGTTTTAATCTAGTTTTACTTTTTAAAAGTAAATCAATGTAATTTATTTCGTTAAATTATCGAAAACGATATTATTTTACTGTCACAGTCATTCCGTGTTTGTTCTATGTGTTATTTTTATCAATAAATTAACTTTAAATAATAAGATTTCATAGTTGGTCGCGTTATATACTATCATAGTAACTACTATTATCAATTTGATAGAAATGAATTCCTGTTTAAAAAAAAGTAAATTAAAAACTAAAAAACAAACAACACTATAATAATGACAAAAACTATAATAGGATAAAAAAAATTATTGAGCTTTTTCTATGTATAGACTGACTTAAGGTATCAAAGATTACGTACGGATAAAATAAGTTCATTATTCAGTTTTAAAAAATTAGAAAATAACTAATTTAATTTTTGATAAATTTTATTGCACTGTTTCTATCTATTTTATTATTATTTTTAGCACTTGTAACATTTTATTTATTTGTTAATAAAATATCTTTAAATTTTACTTTAAATATATATATATATATATGGGTAACCTCCTAAGTATAACAAATTTTAGTTAAAAAAAATATCATATTATTGGATTCTAAATTTTAAGTTTAAAAATATTTGAATAATTTTTATTTTTTTATTTTAAATTAAAAATAAAAATTATTATATACCAAGTTTGTCTTTTTTTATAAATAGAAACTTTTTTTATCAATTAAAATTTGGTATATTTTGAGAGATTACATAAATTAACAAACCATATATATATATATATATATATATATATATATTACCTTACATTTTTTTTCATATTCTTTTAAATAAAATAACTTATAGTTTAATTCTTTTAGCCATTCTCAACTATTATTTTCACGTTCTTTATTTCCTTCATTATGTGACTTTCAATAAAAATAGGAAAAACATTTAAACCATCTTAAAATTTTGGTTTTTTATGGTTTATGTGAAAATGACAATAAGTTAATTGTAATAACTAGGAAAAACACGAAACTTTAAAATAAAAGGGAAAAGTTGTAATTGAGAACTAAGAAACAATACTTAAACCATAAAGTATATTTTAGCATACACAACGGTCTTTTTGTGTTGTTGTTATTAGGAAGTGGACAACCACTGTTTCTGATATTTATCCAACGTCAAATTCAGAAAGAAAGGGATTGGGAAATGACGAAAGATCGACTAACAGTTTTCCACTGTTTATTATTATTGGTTTCGGAATTGCGAAAAACAAAGTTATGTATTTTAATAGCATTTTGATGAAGTGTTATAACATGTGGACAATTTTGTAGCTGTACAAGTAAGGGTAGCCGTGTCTTAATGAGGTTAGTTAAGGATTCATTATCAGAAATGTCCATAATATTTTTTAAAATTTCATTTTTTAAAGATTAATTTAAAATATAAAAATACAAATAATTTATGAGAATAAATTAAATTTAAACTTCTTTTCTAATATATATTAATTTTTAATTTATTATATAAATATCTTTCATCAAGCATTTAACTCTTAAATTTTGACATGTCATGACTATGTCATGATGACTATCTCATCAAGTAGGGTGAGTTATAATTTATGTTTAATTTTATAAAATCAGCACTATTAGGATGAGTTATAATTTGTTAAAGTTGTTTAATTTTATAAAACCAACAGTATATATGTAATTTAATTTGTACAATCAGATTAATGATATTGTTATAAATAATTAGGAATTCGTCGTTCGTCTACGACTTAAGAAATAGAAAAGAAACTTAATTAACAGAAAGATAAACTTAATTATTTAAAAACAAAAAAATCTGACTAACAAACAAATTAAAATATGTTATATAAAAAAATTAGTATTAATTTTGGCGAGCTCCAAATGGAATAGTCATAAGGGATTCCTTCCGTGGTGAGCATCCTCAGGAAATTATTTCAACAACTCATTTACTTGTATTAATCTATTAAGACCGATTTTGCGGTAAGAAAGTTGGTGGTTTACGTAAAAGTCCTTGTCATGATTGAAATATGAAAATGAAAAGAAAAAAAAAATGTCTTCACCTTGTCTTATGAAATGAAACTCTGCACTTAGATATCTGCACAAAGAACAACATCAACAAATCCATGGCGTCGTGTTCCAGCTATGTCATAACCTTTATCTTTTTTATCTCCCTCTGTTTTACTGCGGCTAGAGCTCAGGGACTTCAATATCAGTACCAAGTTTGCTCAAGAAACAAATTCACTCCCAATAGCACCTTCCAAACGCACCTCACAACCCTATTCTCTTCTTTATCTTCCAAAGCCTCCAACAATGTTCAATTCTTCAACAATACCGTCACTGGGACAAACCCCTCAGACACAGTGTACGGACTATTCATGTGCAGAGGGGACATCCCCTCCGACCTATGTAATAATTGCGTCGGAAACGCGACACAGAGACTGTCCACAAACGGAGATTGTTCGTTGTCCATAGAAGCGGTGGTGTATTACGACGAGTGCATAGTTCGGTATTCCAACCTCTCTTTCTTCGGCACCGCAGACATGGAAGTGAGCTCAGGGTATGTCCTGGCGAGCCCCATCAACATGACAAACCAAGAAAGCTTCAAGCGTTTGGTGTATGTGAGCCTGAACGAAACGGCAGATGAGGCAATGAGTTCAGGGGACGGTGAGAAGTTCGCAACAAAGGAAACAGACATAGATATATTTCAGAAGCTGTATTGTCTTGCGCAGTGCACGCCAGACCTGTCTCCGAGAGATTGCAGAAGCTGTCTGAACAGTTTGATAAATTCGGATCTTCCACGGTGCTGTGCAGGGAGGCAGGGAGGAAGAGTTTTATATCCTAACTGCGTCATCAGGTTTGAAATTTACCCTTTTTATCGATCTCTTGGTTCGGCTCCTACGCCAACACCGCCGCCGCCGAAATTGGGAGGTAATTTAGTTCAATACTATATGCTTGTAATGGCTCTGTTAGTGTTAAGCTTATATCCTGAGAAACAAGAATCGAAAGATGTGATGAAACTGTTTGCAATATCTACGGGGAAATTACAAAAAGTAATACTGGGAGTAAAAGTGAAAACAAGTATATTTATGGAAATAAAACATTTAAGTCTGAATCTCTTTACTAGCTTATTTTAGAAAATGTGATGATGAAATTTAAATCTGATTTTCATGTAATGAAAGCTGATATTAATGAATCAATGTTTATGCAAATACATCCTATATAATTAATGTATCACTGCGATCGAGACATATCAAAACGAGAGCTATTTTCCTATTTCATAAAAATTACATAATGTTTAAATATAAAGAAAATTGGTCTTTTCATATTCGAACAACTATTTTAAACTTCTTTTGAAGGGTACGTGATTATTAAAAATATAAACTTTAGAATTAAAGGAAAAACAAAATAATGAAAATAAAACAGTAAACAAGCTTCTTTTTTACTCTGATGGTAACTTTTTAATTTTATCTCAAATGATTCATTTTAATTTCATTTTTAAAGTAGGATTCAATCTAATTTGTTTTCATCGTGAAAACGTTATTGAAATAACCTAAATCATTCATCGTTTGTGTTTGTTGATTTTCACTAATGATATATTATCCGTTGTTTATATCATGTGTTATTATTATATTGTTCATATCATTAGTTTGATTAGAAAATTATATGAACTCATTTCTAAAGATGTGATATTAAATTGATATTAGAAATTATATAAATTTATTGAAGTGTTATTTCATTAGGATTAGAAAAAATCATCCATTTCTTAGTGTGGATTAGGCCAAATAGTTGATCGAGCACCACACAATCACCCAAAGATTTTTTTTAGATTTTATCATATTCCATTCTTAGACTACATTAAACTTCATTTTCAATTATCTCTCGTCTACTCATTTCTAAATTATACTCTAAATAAACACACTATACATCTGTACAAAAGGATCTAATCTAATATAAAATTGTTTAATCTCAGTTTTATTTTTATAAATTAAACTATACTATATACAAGTTGATTACACAGATAAAAAAATTGCATGAGTGACTTCGGAAAGAACCGTATAAATACTTATGTGAATGAAAAAATTATGTGTGAATGAATAACACGTAAAATTGGTGTGCAGAAAATAATTCGAGTAGATCAAGAACAATTATCTTAGTTGTTGTACCCATTGTTAGTTTGGCAATTCTCTCTGCTTTTTGCTACTATTTGCTAAGGAGAAGAGCAAGAAAGAGGTCAAAGCATCTTCTTAAAGAAAATTGTAAGTATTGTGATGGTATTATAAAAACTTCAATTTTTAATTATTGATTTAAAAGTTGCATGTTCATAAACTTATTTACAAGCATGTTGATCCAGTTGGTGAAGAAAGCTCCATTCTAGAAGGGTTGCAATTTGATTTGTCTACTGTTAAATTAGCAACAAATAATTTTTCAAATGAGAGTGAGATTGGTAAAGGTGGATTTGGAGAGGTTTATAAGGTAAGAAATGTATTACAATAAAATTTATGTATTAATTTAGTCATCAAATTTTCATAAATAACTCTTTATGTTTACAGGGCATTCTTCCAGATGGACGACATATAGCCGTTAAAAGACTTTCAATAGAATCCAAACAAGGTTCAGTTGAATTTAAAAATGAGATTTTGTTGATAGCTAAGTTACAACATAGGAATCTTGTGGCATTCATGGGATTTTGTTTAGAAGAGCAAGAAAAGATCCTTATTTATGAGTATGTGCCAAATCATAGTCTGGATTACTTGTTATTTGGTTCGTACTCTTCACCTTACATTCTTTGATCACTTGTTTAATATGATTCCTTAATGCATTTCAATTCAAGATTTATTAATCTAGTTCAAGTGGTTGGTTATAAAATATTTCTTACTTTTTCTCATTCATTTGATATTGTAGGTACTAAACAAGAAAAATTAAGTTGGCACGAACGTTATAAAATTATAAAAGGCACAGCTGTGGGAATTCTTTATTTACATGATTATTCTCGACTTAAAATTATACATCGTGATCTTAAACCTAGTAATATTTTGTTAGATGAAAATATGAATCTTAAAATATCAGATTTTGGCTTGGCTAGAATTTTTGATGTGGATCAAAATCGTGCTGAAACTGATCGAATCGTTGGAACTTAGTAAGTTGCAAATTCTAACCTTTATATTTAATATTACTATATATTTTTTACAATATATAAGGTAACTTGTTTGTATTTTTTTTTTTTACAGTGGTTATATGTCTCCTGAATATGCAATGCTTGGACAATTTTCTGAAAAGTCTGATGTTTTTAGTTTTGGAATTATAGTTCTTGAGATTATTACCGGTAAAAAAAATTCTCATTCATATGAATCCCACCACATGGGAGAAGGTCTCATGACTGAGGTGAGTGTTTTAACTTTTTACATAGGGTAAATTAGATTCATGCATAACCAAATTTCTCTTTATCTTTCCTTTTTTTTTCCTATATAGTATTTAACAAATATACTAACACTAATTATAATTATATATTAACACCTCTTAATTGTTTGAAAAATATTATAACGTACATCCTTACAAGAAAGTTTGTTGTTAAGGGTAAAATAATAAGAATTGTGCTCACCAAAATGAAAGTGTATAAGAAAAAAAAATGATTTGAGTGGAAGAAAAAGTAAGAATTGAATATTTAGTTAATTTAATATTTATTACAGGTGTGGAGAGAATGGAAGAATGAAACACCAATGGGTATATTGGATCAAAATATGAAAGAAAATTATAGTGAAAGTGAAGTTGTTAGATGCCTTCAAATTGGTTTATTATGTGTTCAAGAGAATCCAAATATTAGACCTACGATGGGAAGAGTAGTTTCCTATCTTAATAATCATTCACTTGAATTGCCATCACCTCAAGAACCTGCATTTTTCTTACACGGAATAGATAAAAGAGCTGTGCAGCAAGGATCAAGTTCCAGCATTTCTGCAAACAGTTCCATGCCATTCTCTGTCAACGAGATGTCTACAAGTAATTTTTATCCACGATAATGCTTTTATGTTATCATAATTAATGTCTTTATTGTATAGATATCCATCCTCTGTTAACTTTGGTAAGGATATGATAATTTTCAAAGGACGACTTAGCCAATTATGAAATATTTTTTTATTAACTTTTTTATTCATATGTAAATTACTGGTTATCTAAAGGAAATATTACCTATTTTCTTTTCCTATATTGTCTCTTCTCTCTCTATGTTTGATGTGAATTTTTTCTTTGTTTTCATATTTTTATTTGTATATATTTCATAGTAAGTTTCCTTCTGATAATTTTAATTTATATCTACTTGTTAGTTTTAAATTGTACACTAAACATTAATTGTGATATTTAAATCGGCATAGATCAAATATTTGCCGTCCGTGTTAAAATTATTTTGGAAGAACATGGTACATAGCTAATAATGATTATATTTTGTGAGATAGAGAGTGCTATTGCTATCTGTATTCTATCAAATTTCACCTCATCACAAAAATATTTTAGATATGAGATTGAGTCACTCAAACATATGCACAATTTATTCTCGTCGGATAACAAAACAATCTTTCTTTGTCTTCTTTCCACCATTCGGAGATGTACTTGTTAAAGGTTTTCCGATGCTTAAGTTAGTGAACAATCCGTATGAAAATTCAGAGTAATTGTATTAAATGCACAATAAATGTGATACATACCTCTTTAACTTATATTATAGTTTTTGACATGGGCTTGAGATTAATGAAACCTTAATCTTGAGATTAATGAAACCTTAATCTGGGTCCTATCTCAACTCAACACCTCTAATTACTATTTACCTTAATCCTTGTAGAAAAACCTATTTATCGACTAAGGTCGGACGTCTATGCTCCTGGTCGTTCGGTCTTGCCTATTGGTTTTGCCACATTCAATCGTTACTTAGTTAATTTCTTTTCTCTAGGGTCATCCGATTTGTTTGATATGGGGTATCATGTGTGGCCGTCTGGACTATACAGTACAAAAAGTTTTCAAAAAATTATTTTTGTAATAGAAATGTGGTGATTGTCTTATAGAAAAAAAATCATTTTTTAATGTGTTTCGAAAAATGAAATAAAAAATGATAAGATGTTGAAAGAAATTAGATATAATATAGCCAACAAACTTTACTCTTTATATTTTCAGCTCAAAGAATGGTCCGGTCATCCTTCATTTTCTTTTTCTAATTTCTCTTGGAGTGTTTCACCTACACTTCCAACATCTCATCCTACATTTCCAAAATTCAATTTTTAACCTTCTAACATAATGCACCTTCAACTTTTTTCAAAAGTTACATTTTTAGCTTTAATAAATATCCTTTTATTTTCTTCTTTTTCTTATTAGAGGCATTCTGCACAACCTTAATAATAATATAATTTAATTTAAAATTTAAATATTATTTAAATAATTTTATATTTTAATAATTATTAAAATATGATTTATATTATAATAATATTAATATTAAAAAATAAAAATAAAAAATAATAAAATAAAATAATAATAATAAAAATAGTATAAAATTTGATTTAATATATTCAAATATATTAAATTATATTAAAATATTAAAAAAATTTCAATAATTATTAAATTTTAAATAAAACAAAAAATTTAAAAAATTTGTTCATCAGATATCAAAATCAGTTTTGTTTTTTATTTAAAATTTAATCAATATTTAATTTAATTGAAAATTATAATATTATTTATTATATTTTTATAATTTAATAATTATTAAAATATGATTTATATTTTTATAATAGTTTTATTAAAAAATAAAAAATAATAATAACTAAAATAAGAGTAACAATAATGAAAATAAAAATAACATTAAAAATCACATTTAAATATATTAAATTATATTAAAATATTAAATTTAATTAATTAATTATTAAAATTTAAATAAAAAACAAAAGATGTGTAGTCGGGTTTTGATTTTTATTTAAATTAAAATTTAAATATTTTGTTATAGCCTCATAGGCCAACAATCAATCACTATCACAGCCCATCTATTTTGACTATTAGTACCACCAAAAGTACTGATTACACCTTCCATTTCCTTTACTATATTTACTCCTATTGGTTTTTTAATTTTAATAATCTGTTTAAGTCTAACAAACTCAAGCTCAATCTAATTTGTATATAAACACAAATCCTAGTATTATGTTTTCACCCGCCAATTTAAAATATCCAACTCCCCATCCAAAACTAAAACAAACACAAATTACATAGTATTTTAAACACATAAATTAAATCAGTTACAAGTTAAACATAAGTTAAATTTAATTATCACATAAATGTGTTATTAATTATTAATATAATATTATTTATATATATGTCGGTTCTTTGTTAAACCAAAATACTTTGCGTACAAGTATTTTATTATCTCAGGAAAAGTCTTTTCCATAAATTGACTGATCGAAAGACCTGAAGTATGATGTACATGAATAATGAACTGTTAATTTATCTCTTCTTACGTTCTCTCTCTCTCAACAAACACCACGGACATGTGGTTACTCGTCTACCTTTACTTTTTGGGTTTCTTGTTCAATTTTTCCATAACCGATGCGACTGAAATTTACTACCTGAATCACAGTTGTTCAAGCAACAAAACCTTCGCTCCAAACAGCACCTACGAATCCAATCTCCGAACCCTCCTCCAGTCCCTATCTTCCCATGCCACCACTGCACTGTTCTTCAACACCACATCGGATGGTGGAGACGGCAAGGAAATCATTTACGCCTCCTTCATGTGCCGTGGCGATGTCACCAACCACACGTGCCAAGAGTGCATCAGAACTGCAGCCCAACAAATATCTCAAGTGTGTCCCAACTCCAAAGAGGCCTTAATTTGGTACCACGAATGTTTGGTTCGTTATTCGAACCGTTGTTTTTTCTCCACCTTGGAAGAGTGGCCAAGATTCAACTTCATTGATTACAACGTAACGAATTCAACGAACGAGAAGGGAAGCTATGGGTTCTGGTTGTTATCGAAAACGTTGAGTGATGCAGTGGGTGAGGCAGCGAAGGGCACCATGAAATTTGCAACAAAAAACGCTACCGTGTTTGGGTCCCAGCAAATTCATACTCTGGTTCAGTGCACGCCAGATCTATCGAGCGAAGATTGCAGTGACTGTTTGGGTGATATTATGAAAGATATTTCTTTGTGTTGTCTAGGAAGGGTCGGTGGAATGGTTCTATATCCCAGCTGCACTTTGATGTTTGGGTCCAGACATTTCTACAGAGACGTTATCGTTGCTTCGAATGCCACACAAGAATCATTACCTTCAGGTAAAGTCTCATGCGCCAAATGTTTCCAGAAACCTAATCTTGAAAAAAAAACAATCTTCTTTATAATTTAAAACTAGTTTACGTATGAGCAAATTTACAGAAATAAATATTTTTTTATTATTTCTTCTAAAATTAATTTCCCATAAGTTTCCTCTGAATTAACTTTGCATAATTTTCTTCACCGTGCTTTGATAAACAAACCTTAATTTTCGTCCATTAAATACATAACTTGTTTGGTGATGCCACTTCAACTACTGACACCCGTTTTTCTAAGGTAATAGTATGACATGTTTAATATCTTTGCTTACTTTAACGTGAACACGGAAATAAAGTCTATGATCCACGTCAACTATTGATTGAATAAGAACTTTCAACATTTAAAATAACATGATATTTAGTAAACAAATTAAATATTAATAATCTCTTTTCCTTTTATCCACACACTCCGAAAACGATGTATATGTTCATCAATCTTTATCCAGGAATAAAATATTTTTGAATCAAATTATAAACTTAAATTCCTGCATTAAGAAAATTAATTTATAAATTTCACTTTTATCGCATTCACACAAAATAAATTAGAAAAAAGATTAAATTTCTTTTTACACTAAACGACGGCAAGGTAAACCCTTTTTCTTACTCACTTTAGTACTACAAGACTCCTTTTACAATTTTTAGTTTGAATCAGAATAACGACTTTATTTCGTGTGTAGGAAATAAAATGATTTCACCTGGAGGAATTGTTACGGTTGTCATCTTTCTTGGCTTCACAATGCTAATCTCTTTTCACTGTTATTTCTTATGGAGAAGAGCAAGAAAGCGCAAGTATAAGGTTCTTTTGAAAGAAAACTGTAAGTATTTTAACAACAATTTTTAATTTCTAACTATGCATCCAAGCCTGAAAAAATTGCAAACTTAATTTAACAATTTGCTATACATGTGTAGTTGGTCAAGAAAGTGTCACTCTAGAAGGATTACAATTTGATTTGGTCACAATTCAAGCGGCAACAAATAACTTTTCAAATGAAAACAAGATTGGAAAAGGTGGATTTGGAGAAGTTTACAAGGTAAAAACATATCATAATCATAATATTTTATTTTATATTAAACTTAGTTAAATTTCAAGCACTTAATAAATTTAGGTATTTTAATTAAATTTTTGTTAAAAAAGTTGTTCTATAGAGTATCTTAAATATATATTTTTTTTTGTTTAAGTACTTTATAGTATGTGTTTTTTTTAAGTTAATTAGACTGAGACTATTACTTTCATCTTCCCATCCCTGACATATCTATGAATATATTAATTTCTTTTTTAATTTCTTCTAACTTATCAATCAACCTGTATTTTCTCTTTTCTAAGAGTAACTTGAGTAACAAGTTGAAAGAGATTATGAAAGAAGGAACAATTTGATTGACTGAGTTAGAGAGATGATAAGATGAAAATAAAGATCATATCATTTTGTTGACAACAAAAATCAAATAACTGAATACTTTGAAAAAAAGTTAAAAAAAAAAATTTTAGACATTCAATATAACAAAAAAAGAGTTATTAGTAACTCAATTACAAATATATAAATTTATGAGTTATTTAAATTAATTGAATCATATATGATTATATTTCTCACTTTAACAGTGTCGTGTCTTTTTAGGGCATCTTATCTTCTGGACTACATATAGCAGTAAAAAGATTATCACAAAGTTCTACACAAGGTTCCGTTGAATTTAAGAATGAAGTTTTATTAATAGCCAAATTACAACACAAAAACCTCGTGGAGCTAATAGGCTTTTGTCTAGAGGCACAAGAAAAGATACTTGTATACAAATTCATGCAGAATGGGAGTCTTGATAAATTTCTCTTTGGTTTGATACTTGATCTTACACTCTTGAAATTTAGCATTTTTCTCGTACACTATACTAGGCTTGTAAATATGTATTTGCCTACTTTCCTCATTCACCTAATAAACATTGCAGGTTATCAACAAAAAATGTTGAGCTGGTATGAACGTTTCAAAATTATAGAAGGAATTGCTCGAGGAATTCTTTATTTACATGAACATTCTCGACTTAAAGTTATACATCGTGATATCAAACCTAGTAATATTTTATTAGATGAAAATATGAATCCTAAAATATCAGATTTTGGTATGGCTAGAATTATGGAAATAGACCAAGATCGTGGAAGGACCAGACGTATAGTTGGAACATAGTAAGTTACAAAATTTTATTTTTTATCTCCTTTTACTTTTTTACATGATATATTTTAATTAATTTATATTGTTGTTTTTTATATAGTGGTTATATGTCACCAGAATATGCAATGTTTGGACAATTTTCTGAAAAATCAGATATTTTTAGTTTTGGAGTTATGGTTTTGGAGATTATTACAGGAAAAAAGAATACAAGTTCTCATGAATCACATTACATGCCAAATGGACTCATGAGCTATGTGAGTATAATAGTTACATTTTTTTTACGTGTTGGTCATACTTATGAAATCAAATTCAGTTAATTTAAATGTTAAGAAATAGTTTCAAATATCATTGTTTCATAAATTATTGTAGGTTTGGAGAAAATGGATGGATGAAACACCATTGAGCATATTAGACCCGTTTTTGGAAGAAAATTATTCTAGAATTGAAGTAATTAAGTGTATTCATATTAGTTTATTATGTGTTCAAGAAAACAAAAATATTAGACCTACAATAGCAGATGTTGTTTCATATCTTGATGGTCGTCACACGATTGAATTTCCATCTCCACAAGAACCAGCATATTTGTTGTTCGACAAGATGGATACAAAAATAGTCTCAGAACACTATTCTGTTAATGAGATGTCCATCAGTACATATTATGCTCGATAATAAGTTAATTCAAAGTTTTGATAACATTTTTACTTATGTTTCTAATGTGGAATATGCTTTTAAGTGACCTATATCCCACTAACTAAAAACTTTGTTTATATCTTAACTTAGTTCATTCACTTTTTTTAATATGATATTCTTCTAATCACATGTGGACTTACTTTTAATAGTGAAATAAAAATTTAGATATAGCTATAAACTACCTTTGATTTGAACATTGTTAATATTAAGTTTATTTAAGTTTTTATTATGTGAATCATTTAGTGGCAAGTACTTGATATACTTTGATTATAAAATTGTTTGACACTTTATCAAAAACTTTATCACCTAATAATTCACATTGTAGTTAGTCAGTACGTAAACTGTCTTGAATCATGCATTTATTAGTTATTTGTGACATGATTTACGAAGTTGGTAACTATTTCATATATATATATATATATAAATATTTTATATGTTTGTAATTTATCATAAAATATTTCAAAAACATATATTTTGTATAATATTAAAAGTTATACATTAAAACAAAAGACTATCTAAATATTTACTATCTCCTGATAATATTAATAATTCTCCATAGTTAATCTACAACAGATCTTTTAACAATTTTTCTTACCTCTTTTATTGAGCATGTTGATGTTATATTAGCATAACAAAAAGATATAAAAGAAAAATAAGAAATGAGAAAGATATTTGTAAACTTTAAATATCAATCTTAACAAATCCAACAAACAATGCACTTATTAGAGATCTCTCGTTGGACATCAAAAAGTTACTTTGAAAAGTAAATACGTAGTTAAAGTATTTCTTATAAAAACATTGGTACAACCATAATTGACACATACTCACTACCTAATATTGACAATGGTAAATAGGTATGGGTTAGTCTCAAATTTGATTAATGAATATCTTATCATCCAAAGCACTATTTTGAATTTTTCAAATATTTAGCTACTTTGATAAAATGTTTTTTAACCCACCATAGTCTCTGTCTTTCATCCCACAATGTACCAAATTGTGACTTCCCAAAAATACTTCACATCAAGTTGATCTTAAGTCATTTGAAACAAACATGAGACTTTCTTGCAAAATGTGACAACTATCAAGATATATTCTTTTCCTTAAACAATGTTTATATACATCATCCAAGCAAGTACAAATAATATAAAAACAATAATAAAACATAGAGATAACTTTCTTTTATTCAAGTTCACTAAATAAATAAAAAAATATTAACTTTTATTTGTTTGTCATAATTTTAATCTTTCAAAACATTTTAGAAAGGGAAAAAAGAAAAATATTTAAACTGTCCTAAATTTCGACTATTAAATAATGTAAAACTATTTAAGGTAATAAGAAAAAATATAATTATTTTAAAACATATATTAAATAACATCCTTAATTTTTATAAACATTCTCGTATAACTAACTAAACATAAATTGATTGATATATTAAAAAATATAATTTGTGGTCCCTTATAAAAACTAACCAAACATACATTGATTAATATATTAAAAAAATATAATTTATGGTCGCTACCATGTAACATTTATTGAAAACTTACTCAACTTTAACTCAACGAAAGAAATATTTTTTTTTATTTTATATTTTTTTTTTAAATTTAGACTTAATTATCATAGATAATAATATGTATTACTTCAAAATAATAACTTTTCAATTTTTAAGGTTGAGTTACTTAGATAAATAACTAAAAGATTTTTAAGCAAATTTTTTAAAATTATATTACTTAGAAAATATAATTGAAATAATTTTTAAGTAAATTTTAAATATTGCATGTTTCGGGTGTAGGGTCAAGTAACTACAAACACCTTCACAATTTTCTCTTCAACGTCGTTCGAGTAGTTATGTCCTCACTTCTCCTTCTTCTTCACTCTACCTACCAAATGTTATCTAATGCTTAAATTAGCAAACAATTCTTACAGAATCAGAGCAATAGTCTTAAATGCACAGTAAATGCGATCACTTACCTCTTACATTTTATCTTTATTTATAGTTTTTGAAGTGGGTCTATAATTAACGAAATCTTTAATCACGGCCTAATTTCGACCCATTAGACTAATTAATACTTGCATGTAAACCTGCTTCTTAATGTCTCTAGAAGAATGTTTTCGGGTCAGATGTCCGACCTCTATTTACATATGAGCTAGACGTGTCTTTAAACTTATTTTGGTTTCGTCATTAGAATCTACTGAGTTGGATTGTCTATCTCACCTTTAGTATGTAGGAACGTCCGATCCTATGATACATTGCATAATATCTATTAAGAATTTGAGTTTAAGGTTTACAATTTAAAATCTTTATAATTGAGTCAAATAAAATATTATATAAAAAATATATTTAACATGAATTTTAGAACCATTACTAAATAGAAAATAGTTTAAATTAAGATTTTTAATATTGGTTGAGTAATTAAAGTTAAAAGAGATAGCCTTTTTTTAAAAAAAAAGTTTACCTATTTACAGATTTATATTTTTTCTTTTACACTGAAATAAAAATAAGTAACATAAGCAACATGTGAATAAAATGTAGTAATAAATAATTATTATAATAATCTTATAGATAATCCACCCGCAACAAACCACAATCATAATTTTTCCTTCTTATCTTTTGCTTCTAAAACAAAATTAATATTTAATTACATGTTGGATACATATGAAAACGAAGCAGTGAACAGTAATTAAGAGTATCATGTAGTCTTTATACAATTAATGTGATCTCTACCCAACACATTATATTCATTCATAACATTAAAGAAAAAAAACATGAATAAACAATGACTTACAAATTACTATAAATATAAGATATTACTAAAGCAAATATTTTATTACTTACCTTTCTACTATTTTGTTAATTTTTTCGTCATTATTGACATCACCCCGTGGTTCAATAATTTGACTAAATGATAATATATGAGAATGCTATGGTTAGGTCCACGTCAATGACTACAGGCAAAATGGCACATAGCGAAGTTGGCTTCTACTATCACGTGTCCGTGCTGACTCCACCACCAATAATTGACAACGCCGCACCCTCTCAAATGCACATTTGTTTTTACCGGGAATATAACTTTTTAAAAATTTACAAAAAAAGATAATTTAAAAAAAGTTATAAATAAAGATAAAACGGAACATTTTAAGCGAGTCTTTTTTTTATATAATTTCAACAAAAATTAAATCAAATTTGTAATACATCTTTTAAAATATATTAAATTAAAATAGTGAGATATTAATATGATTTTATTTTATAAATTATATTGTATGGCTGAGATGGTCATGTAATCATCTCATGACCAAGTCGACTAGACGACTGTTAAGAGCAGGAGTTTGTAAAACTATTTGAAAATTATAAATATAAATCAAAGATTAGAAATAGATATTTATATTTATCACACATTTATTATTATTTTATTGAACTCCCGTAGCGATAGTGGACATGGATCGAATAATTTTTGGGAAATGTCTTCTTTAACAACTCTTTTTTAACAATTTTTTTGACAACACAGACGTGGTAGCTTATGATGGGTTGGTTTCAAATATTTTTCTGAAAACAAATTCAAACAAACCAATAAATCAATGACATGTGGCCCATTGTCAAAAAATTGTTAAAATTTGTTGTTGAAATATCAGGATCCTAACCTTTATCATTGTATCACTCCAACATAATTTATTTCAAGTGAAAAGTTGTGTCAAATGATACAATTTGCCTATATCTATGATGTTTTTTAAAAATATCTATTTTGATAGGTTAAAAGAAAAAACCAGTTTGGTGAAAAACCTCAAATGCCATATTTCATAAACTATCCACGGAATAGAAGGGAGGAGAATGCATTCGCTACGTTTCTAAAACAGTCAGATTAAATTAACTTTCGTAGGAGATAAAGAACCAGTTGTCACATCTTATAAAAATTATAATCTATTTACAATCATTTATATATTATTGAACTAGTTTTAAATACAAAATATGAAACCACGACTTGTGATATTTTACTTTGTTGACAAACCTCAATCCAATTCATAGACCGCGGCCGTCTCTGACTTCTATCCCTTCACGCGCATCTGCATGATGCCATCACTCGTTTCTTTGTCTCAGTCAGTGCAGAGATTTTGCAGCACATGAGAATCATGATTACCAAGTCCAAAAATAGTCTAAAACTGTTCCTTTTTTGCACCCTTGTGCTCACCGTTACAGAAACATCTGCTTCGGTGTTCAACAACGTTAGCTGCTCCAGTAACCACACTTTCACTCCAAACACCACCTTCAATGCCAACCTCAACACCCTTCTCTCCCACCTTTCCTCCAACGTCACCAACAACTTTAGATTCTTCAACACAACATCTGGGGAGGGTTCGGACACCGTCTATGGCCTCTACATGTGCCGTGGAGACGTGCCGTTTGCTCTATGCAGAGAGTGTGTGGGTTTCGCGACCCTAACCATAGCCTCGTCGTGTCCCACATCGAAAGAGGCTGTGATTTGGTACAACGAGTGTTTGTTGCGCTACTCTTACAGGTTCTTCTTCTCTAAAATGGAAGAATGGCCACGGCACCAGGTCAATATCCCATTGGGGGATCCTGTCGTTTTGCACAGTAATAAATTCTACACTGCTTTAGGATCCATTTTCAATGAACTTCCAAATCAAGCAGCACTGGCTCTCAGAGGGTCCAACCCTTATGCTGTTAAGCAAGAAAACGCTTCTGCGAGTGTGACCCTGTATGGCCTCGCTCAGTGCACACCAGACTTGGCCGCCGGAGATTGCAAACGGTGTATCGCCGATGCGGCGGCGGAATTCGCCGTGTCTTGTTGCGGAGGGAGCATAGGGGCAAGTGTTCTGTTTCCCAGTTGCATTGTTAGGTATGAAACGTATCCGTTTTATCAGCATTCAGGAACCTCCGCGCCAACAACGATTAAGGGTAAGTTTGTTTTCTTTTGTTTCTCGAATGAAAATGTTGGATTCTTTGGTTTAAAGAATAGCAGAGAGAGAAAGGTTTATCAAAGTTTTAATTTGCAACCAATCACAGTTTAGTCACAATCCTTGAAAATACAAGTGGCCAATCAGATTGTAAATATTTTAGTCCCGATCATCCACATATTTTGAGGTTGGCTAATAAGTTGGAAAGAATAAGAGAACAGAGAAAGCAAAAGATTTTAATTGGAGAAGGAAAAAATACTTTCTTTATTTGACTTCCAATGGAATAACCAGAAATTTTCACTGATCTCATTTTTATATATATAGAAAAAAGAGATTAACTAATTCTTGAACTCAGACAACTCTTCATAAATTGCTTTCTGCAAGAGATAAGATTAGTCTGATGACAGTAAGCACGAATATTCAACTGTGGCTTCATATAATTAGCATACTTGTCGAATATGTGCTGTATTGAGTTTGATCATTAGTTGATTAATTTTGTACAAAAGAAAACGTTGAAATGGTGTTGACGCTGTGTGGTTTGTCAATATGACACGTTTTGACAGGTTCAGGAAATATTCGCACTGAAGTGATTGTGATAGCCGTTGTCATGGTTGTCGTTTTGGTAATCATTTTTTTCTTTGGCTACTACGGTTTCAACCGCATAAAAGCGAGAAAGAAAAGCAAGGCCAGTGACGACAGAGAAAACTGTAATATCAACGAACCTGTTATATCTTCAATATTGGAGCTTAGTACAAAAGCCTATAGTTTTTTTTTTCTTTATATTTATTACATGTACTCGGTGTGAGTATTTCCAATAACTGCTCCGTGAATTGTAATGCAGTTGGGGTAGAAATCAGTGTCTTGGAGTCCTTGGAATTTGATTTTGCTACAATTGAAGCAGCAACAAACAAGTTTTCTGAAGACCGCAGGATCGGCAAAGGGGGTTACGGAGAAGTCTACAAGGTAACATAAATGCGATGATCAATGTGTCATCTATATTGTTTTCTTGTTCTATTCTAACGGCATGTAATCACAGGGAATCCTTCCTAACGGTGAAGAAGTAGCTGTAAAGAGATTGTCAACAAATTCTAAGCAGGGAGCGGAGGAATTCAAGAATGAAGTGTTGTTAATAGCTAAACTTCAACACAAAAATTTGGTGAGGTTAATAGGATTTTGCCAACAAGACAGAGAGAAAATACTTATCTATGAATATGTCCCTAACAAAAGCCTTGATCACTTTCTATTTGGTAAGACTTTTCAGTATTTGTTTCTGCTCTGAGTTTTACATTGCAATTTTAATCGAATGTGAAATAAATATTGATTTATACTTTTGTAATGTATTTGACTAATGGTATCTGTAGATCCCGCAACACACAGAATATTAACTTGGTCAGAGCGGTATAAAATCATTAAAGGAATTGCAAGAGGAATTCTTTATCTTCATGAAGACTCTCGTCTTAAGATTATACATCGTGATATCAAACCAAGCAATGTTCTATTGGACAACGACTTCAATCCAAAAATCTCTGATTTTGGCATGGCAAGGATGGTAGATACAAACCAGATTCAAGGATGTACGAACAGAGTTGTGGGTACATAGTGAGTTGCAAACCCTTACATTTTTCAAAAGTACATTTTTATTTATGTAATTCGTTTATTTATCATCATGAAATAATTGTGATAATTTCTGAATACTCTCACGTCCCTTATAATCTCCATGCTGATTGTTTTCTGCATTCTTCATTTTCAGCGGTTACATGCCTCCCGAGTATGCCATGCATGGACACTTTTCTGAAAAGTCTGATGTATTCAGTTTTGGAGTTATGATTCTTGAGATTATCAGTGGAAAGAAGAATTCTTGTTCTTATGAATCATCTCGTGTCGATGATCTCTTGAGTTATGTGAGTATTCAATTCTTGTTTCTTCTTATTGACTGCTGTTCTCTGAACCATAGTTCAAAAGAGACATAAACAAAGTTTAAGAAAGTGATAAAGGAAAATCTTGAATGGGTAATTAATTTCAGGCATGGAACAATTGGAGGGATGTATCACCATTTCAATTGTTGGATCCGAGTCTTGTGGAATCTTACAGTCCAAACGAAGTTGAGAAATGTATGCAGATTGGTTTATTGTGTGTGCAAGAAAATCCTGATGACAGACCAATAATAGGAACCATCGTTTCATATCTTAGCAACCCTTCGGTTGAAATGCCATTCCCTTTAGAGCCAGCGTTTTTCATGCAAGGCAGAGTTAGAAGACATTCAGCTGAACATCAATCATCTTCAGGTTACTCCATCAATCATTCTTTCTCCACCTCTGTAAATAACATGTCCACTACCGTATTCTTCCCTAGATAGAATTCTTATATCTTATATCTAATTAAACTCATTACATATTTCAGATAACTTTTCCTTCATAACAATTTGAAGAAAATATTACTTAGTTTTTATATTTTGCTTATTTATTAAATATCAACAATGAAAGTTTATTAAGAGGGTATTGCAACATAAGTTAAAATTTTAACTTGTAACACTGGGTAATTTGCATTCTATACTTATTAGTTGAAAAAGCTTTCTAAAGTCACCATTTATCAGTTCATGAAAGGAACTAATGAAACTAATTTGAGACGACGTTGAAAGTTTTAAATGGAAAGTAATAATTATTAGTTATTGACAATGATAGCAGAATTGATGGACACGAGAGAAACAGGAAAACGTGGTTAGCTTGAAGCATATTAGGTTGAATTAAGATGAAGAAATTCCAACTTAGGACCCACAGATTTAAAGAAGCCACTTATTTCAAGGTCCACGAGTATCATTAGTATTACGTGAGAGAGTGAAATTAGGGATGAACAGTAGGCATGTGTGGGGATCTGGAAGAATAGAAATAAATGGATTTGAAAAGAAAAATAGCTGAGAATAATTTTGCTTGAATTAAGAGAGTTTAGATAAAAATTTATAATAGTTAATGAACGATTGAATGGATTAAAAATTATTTTATTTAATAAAAATAGAAGATTATTGTTAGTTATATTTCTTATTATTATATTTAATTTATTGTTATTTTTATTATATTATTTATATTATTGTTTATAATTTTTTTATTATGTATGTTATTAATATTATTATTAATTTTATGATTATTTAATTTATTATATTTTATTTGATTTTAATCAGTTAAATTTATTTATTTAATAATTATGAAATTGGTTTGTAATATAAATTATTATAAAAGTAAAAAAAGAAAAGCAACTTTCCCCTCAATTCATGTAAGAAGGGAAAACAAAACTGCATTATAGCTTGTGCAAATTTCTAATTATGATAAAAAAGTGCACTTGGAAAGATTGCCTCCATCTGCTGCTCATAATTTCTATAGCAAGGCATATGATAAGACCGAAAAGGTAATTCCGAGACTATCTTAATAATTATCTAAAAGTCGTTATTTGTTTTTAAATATTAATTAAAAACAGAAACTAGATCATTATTGACATTTATTATAGTTATTATATTTAGATCCGGTGAAACTGAATAGCTTAATTTAGAAGGAGTCTATCAATTAAAGAATAGCAGAAAAAAAATAGTAGAAATTATGGGGCTTGATTAAATTAATTTACTTATAACCTTAAAAATAATTAATTAGAAATAAAAACAGACATTAATACCGAATTTTGTTGACAAAAATCCAAAACTCTAATAGGAGAAACTTTAAACTTCATCTTTTCATAAAATTAGACATTTCATTCATTATCCTTCTTAAATTAGATAGTTATATTTTTTTTTATTCAATTAGTTGGCTAGTTGATAAAAATTACTCATTCATTTATTCTTTTAATTATGAAATTAATTACATTATATTACTTGTTCTTTTTAATCTTTAAAATTTTCGATCAAATTTTTTATAAAAAAAATAAAAGAAAAAATAGAAAAATAAATCAAATTAATTTACTCTTAAGTTAAAATATATAAATTAATTTTAAAATGGGCAAAAGTCATTTTTTTATTATCCATATCAGAAACTCAATTAAACATATGCCTAGCGTAAACTTTTTTTTTTCTAATATGACATGCTGATTTGGATTTAATTACTAGTTATATTTGGGATTAATTTAAACATACATCATAATTGTGATTAATAGTTTGAGATAATTGTATCAAAATTAATTCTACCAAACTAAATATTTCAATAGTTCTCAATGGTAGATCTTAATTAATAATATTTTAGAATCAATGTTACTAGAGTCCATTCTTGACTGTTGTAAAGTAGTGTAGTCAAACTTCTCTTGTTAAAACACTTTTATTTTGCATGTAAACAAATGATATAAAATTGTTGCACCATTATTAATTACCAACATTATTAATCTTTATCTCTAAAAAAAAGGTTAAAAAAGAATGAATGTGACAAAGCAATTAAAAAATCAAGACTATTTTCGTCTCTTACAAGCTCACGCTTATTCTACGTAAGTGATATTATTTTTCCTAGTAATGATTCAATGTTTTTCTATTTATTTTTAATTCAACGTAATTCATATATTTTTTTTTCTGAAAATACTTAATTTAATTCATTAAAATAATTTCCTCTCGAATTTAACAATGAACACAAAAAATAAAGTTAAGTAATATACTATAATGTTTAACGGTAATAAAAATCATTAACTAAATATAAAGTCAAATTTCAAAGTTGTTGTTAGGTGTTTTAAGAATTGTAAAATGAAATGAAAAAAAAATGCAAAATTCGTGCATGGTGCTTTAAAATTTTTAAAAACATAAGGAAAAATAAGATTACAGAGCTTTATTAAAAAAAATGTGGATGAGGAGAGAACAAAAGCTTGACTTGCTTCATTGACTTGCCATGCATCAAGAAAAGTAGAATGCCACCACGTGTTTTGTGGTAAATTTTATCGATTGAATCAACAATCCGACGCCCCCAAGTTGGCATTTTCACAAACACCTTCACAGCATGGCCCTTTTTTCCTTGAAACATGCTCTCTTCTTCATGTTTCTTATCTTTACCACTGTCCACGCATCAGATGACCCTATATTCCTTCGCCAAAATTGCACAACCAACGAAACCTTCACCTCCAACACCACTTTCCAACTCAACCTCCGCACCCTCTTGTCTTCCCTATCTTCCCTTGCCACCCGAAACACCCAATTTCGCAACGCCACCGTATCCGGCGGAAGCCCCTCCGACACAGTCTACGGTCTCTTCCTCTGCCGCGGCGACGTGCCCCCTCAACTCTGTCAACAGTGTGTCCTGAACGCGACACAAAGACTCGGCAACCAAAACACAGATACATGCAAGTTTGCGAAAAGCTCTATAATTTGGTATGACGAATGTTTGGCTCGATATTCCAACAGGAACTTCTTCTCCACGGTGGAGACAAGGCCCAGAATGCGTCTGCGGAACACCGCCAACATTTCCGACACAAAAAGCTTCTTGCGCTTGTTGTACACCACCTTGAATGAAACCGCAGACGAGGCAGCGAATTCTTCTAATGGTGACAAGTTATACGCCACAAAACAAGCTAATATCTCTGGGTTTCAGACCCTCTATTGTCTGACTCAGTGCACACCGGATTTGTCACCCCAAGATTGCAGAAGGTGTCTCAGTGATGTGATAGGGGACCTTTCCTGGTGTTGTCCTGGAAGCCAAGGAGGAAGAGTTTTGTATCCAAGTTGTAACTTTAGGTATGAGCTCTATCCTTTCTACAGAATGGATTCTCCGGCACCCGAAGCAAATGTTAGTCCTACAGCTTCTACGATAAAAAAAGGTAATGCTACATATTACAGTTCTTTAAAATGTTTTAGAGTTATGAATTTAAACTAGAACAACACGCGAATAAATGATTTAGGTCAGATTAGGTTATGAACTTAATGATCAGTTTTTCTGTGTTTAGGTGAAGCAGGAAAGAGAGGCGTCTCATCAGAGATAGCAACTGCAACTTTTGTTTCAATTGGTGTGACTTGGCTGTGGTGGGTATTTGTTCTTAAGTGAAAAAGAGAAGGAAAGAAGAATCGCTTTCAAGTTTCTGCAGATACGCAAAGAAAAGTGAAACAAAAGAATCGCTGCAGACATTTGTACTTCAATAAGCTCTGGACAGAATGCAGTACTATGCTTCAATTATACAAAGTTGTCTTAACAGAAAGAGTTTCTCATTCTTATGTAACTTCAAATGAATTAATCATATTATATAGACTTATCTTTAATTTAATTCCAAGAAAATTGGATGCGAATAAATACTTTACCGTTACTTTTTTTCTTTTTCCTTTTCCTGAGGAAAATAAGTTACTACTATCACAAAGACTAAAAACATGACGTGTTCCAAAAAGAAGAAGAAATATTAACTGAAAAATAAATATAACAATGAAATGCAAAAATTAATATCAACCGAATAAACGGTCAAATTACGAGGAAATCTTATACGTGTGATTTTGTTTTACTGGATTCTTACTCATAGTACTTTATTAACAAGTTAACTTGTTTTTATTTACTTTTAGGACAAAGAAAATAAAGATTAGGTGAATCAGCGTTCACATAAATAGAATAGACAAAAGTATTACATATTCTTCGATCGAGGTACCATTTTAATTCAGGAAAAAGTGTTTTTTTTTATACGTGATTAGTCCATTTTAAATATTTTTTTTAAAATAAATTCAAACAAATAAATGTTCTGTTATCAAAAAATTATTAAAATATTAGAATACTTTAATTTAAATAAAATATAAAAACACAAATAAATAAAATAAACATGATAAAATATATTTAAAAAGAAGGGATTTGACCGACAAATTAGAGGAATTAAAGAGAGAAAATTTATATATTTAAATATATTTCCCACATATTAAAAGATTAAAGAGAGAAAAAATATATTTACTGGGTGACAAGTTTAATAAAATATGTGTTCTTTCAATTAATAAATTTATAATTAAATTTTTTTAAGAAAACATAATTTATCAGAAGACGATATTAGATTACATATTTAAATATCTCATTCAAAAATGAAAATATGTTATTTTTGGACAATTTTTTTTAAATTAAACCGCAGATTCTTGTCCATACGAGAAAAACAAAAATGTATATGTGTTTGTCATTTGACTATTCTTTACTAGTACTTCAAAGATAAACGATCTTGAGTTGGGTATTTACCTAAATAATCTTTTTATGAAATAAAGTTAACTTATATATAAAATATAAAAATTAAAAACATATAATAACTTTTTAAAGTAATTAATTCGTATGCTAATTTTATTAGTTGATAAAAAAATATTTTTTGGTTTTTTTATTTCTCCCTTTCATAAAAAGTTTAGAAGAAACTTGTGAAAACATGCCACTCAGTGGCTAATTAAGATATTTGATGTTCTTTGACTTCTGTTCACACAAAAGTCTTCTAAGTCTTCGTTGCCATCTTTCTCAACAATTAATTATTTCTTTTTCGTCAGCCCAACGAAACCGAACACTCATTTGTCCTCACATCAACATTATTTGCACCACCTATACTTAAGATGATTGGACACGGACTTTGCTTTTTATTTTTATTTTTCATGTTTTTGTGAATATGGAAACTTTTTCCATTTTACTATTTGTTCACGTAGGATTTAGATCCCTAATTTAAAACATTTAAAGTTGTCCGTTCCATCATCCAAGCCGTAGGAAATGATGTTTGCAAAAGACACCCAACACTCAAGATTAGTTATAAGAGTTAAAAGTTACATGTTCTCTTTGTCAGACAAATATTTATAAATTATAATGACCTTACCGTTAGGTCTGACTCATTAATCACCAATGAATGATATTATTAATTGTCAATAAATAACAATTATTTTCATTAACTCCCCGGTAGTTATTACTATTGATTATCTTAACGGCTGTTTTTACCGATTGGTTCATTGACCTGAGAGTGGTCAACCGACTCTTCTCTTCTGTACCTTTACCGTTCGGTCGGCTATGAGCCCATAGGAACATAAGCCTCCCAAGCGCTAGCAAAATTTTTGATATTGCGTTGGGTTTCAATTCATACACTAGCATGCGTTCTTTATCGTCCGAACGAGTTTTGCACTAAGAGTTCCTTTTGAAGTCTCCCTTAGACTAAGGTGAGAGTTCATGAAAGAAGACTGCCTCACTGCTCGGTTTAGGTCTTACGAGTTCACTAGGATTGTGTTCTAAGATCAAGGTGAGAGTTCACGAAAGAAGACTGCCTCACCGCTCGGTTTAGGTCTTAGGAGTTCACTAGGAGCGTGCCCTAAGACCAAGGTGAGAGCTCACGAAGAGTCTGTCTCACCGCTCTCGGTTTAGGTATTAGGAGTTCACTAGGAGCGTGCCCTAAGATCAAGGTGAGAGCTCACGAAGAGTCTGTCTCACCGCTCGGGTTAGGTCTTAGGAGTTCAATAGGAATGTGCCCTAAGAGCAATGTGAGCGCTCACGAAACGTCGGAGTGTCTTTTGCAGACATCCTCCCCGCAGCTTAGACAAGGAAAAGAGAGAAAACAGCTAACTAGATCATAAAGTGGACAACTTTGAAAGTCTTATATTAACGATCTAAATTCTGCCGAATCACTATTGAACCCCTTCCCTTAATGTATGTACTGCGTCACTCTTTACCCTGATCCAGAAGCACATAGGTTCTCAAACAAACTATTACAAACATAAACATGGGAAAAACAATTCACCAACTGCAAATTTTTCTCCAAACCAACGTCACCAACATGCCTCGTTCCAACCGCTTAGCAATTTCCTCAATTTTCTTCTTCCTCTTTAGTTCCTTCTTCTTTTCAACCAAAGCAACGCCAATATACAGTTCCCATGTCTGCACAGACTCCACCAAAGACAAACCAAACACCACATTCCAAACCAACCTCAACCTCCTCCTCTCTTCCCTTTCTTCCAAGGCCACCGAAGCCACCCAATTCTACAAAACAACAATTGCCACCGAAACCCCCAACCCCGTCAAGGGCCTCTTCCTCTGCCGCGGCGACACCCTCGCCGCCGCCTGCCACGACTGCGTCACCGCTGCAGCAGCGGACCTAAAACGCCTGTGCCCGGTTCAGAAGGAGGCCATAATCTGGTACGACGTGTGCATGGTACGCTACTCCGACCAATACCTCAATAACATCGTACCTGGAGTGGATATGTCTGATTCCAAAAACGTTACTAGCATTAGCATTAGTCTTGACCGATTCAACGAATTGCTCGCGGGATTGCTGAATTCCCTGGCAACGAAAGCTAAGAATTCCTCAGATAAGAAATTTGCGACAGGGGAAGTGAACCTCACGAGTTCGGTGACCCTTTATGGGTTGGTGCAGTGCACGCCAGATTTGTCTTTGTTCGATTGCAGGATGTGTTTTAGCAGCGCCATTGCGTCTGTTCCGAATTGCTGTGATGGGAAACGAGGGGCAAGAGTGTTGCTTCCTGGATGCAATATCAGATATGAAGTGTATCCATTTTACAGCAGCAATAACACATTGACCCCAACGATTGTGAAGCCTCGTCCTTCAGGTACAGTGCTAGTAAGTAGTAAATTGTGCTTATTTGATTTTGAGTAGGGAGTGATTGAATTGTATTGACGTTTGCCCAGGACGGAGTGGTGTTGAAGTGATTCTTACATTTGTTATCCCTATTGTTGCTGCGATGGTGCTTTTCACTTTTGGGATATGTACTGTCATGAGAAAGCAAGCAAAGAGTGTGATACAATTGTGGAAGCAAACGGTAACAGAACTTGAATTCTTCCATTCCAATTTAAGTAATTGTTTGATAGTTTCATGTTATGGTCGATGCTGACTGTTTGATTTTGGGGTTGAAAAACAGAATTATTCTGAGGTGTAGATGAGACTGATGCTGCAAAGAATAGCAAAGGTTGGGGACAAGAGATAGTACTATGAGTAGTTTAATGGGAAATACAATACTGTTAATGCTGAATATTTGGATTTTGTGTGCTTGATTAGGAAAGGCATAATGCAAGACAACCTTGATTATCGTTTTCGTCTTCCGAATCTGTCAAAGACACATGACTGAAGATGTGGCTGCATCAGATCGTTTAACGGAGGACTTGGCAATTGGTAGTGTAGATTAGTGAAGTATAAGCTGACTGAGTTTTTGTTGTTGCTGCATCGGCATCCATCTATATGTTTGCTGTTACTTGGACAGATTGTTTTAGATGTAAGAATATCAACGGACCAGAAGTGTGGATACTGTTTCTATTTTTATTTTTATTTATCCTGGTGAGTTTGCATAGATATATTTCCATATAAAACGGTAATTCACAACCTATTAAAGAAATATCATCAGGCCACTGAGTTCTTCAAATGTTGGTGAAAAATTCAATATTAATCTGTGTTGATATGAAATTTGAATTTATAGAGTGTCTGTATTCTACATTGAAATAGGTAGGTAAATAACCATCTTGATTCTCAAAGATTCACATATACCTCATACAAAAAGATAAAAAAATAAACGGTTCAAAATGATATATTTAAAAATAAACTTGAAATACACTTCAAAACTCATTAAAAAAACAAGAAGAAATGTGGAAAACATTATCACAACAGTAAAACATGCAATAAAAGTCAAAGTTTATTATTTATGGATAACTTATGTAATTTGCATAAATAATTTTTTTTCTTAGTTCATAAAATATATTTAATTTAAAGATTGAATTACAATTATTTATTATTACTATTATTATTTGAAGATCAATTTTTAAATATTTAGTAGCTAAATTAATTTCCTTTAAAAAGGTGTAATTTTTATTTTTACACATTTTATAAAATGGCATCACTCTGTTATAAATTTAATAGATCGATAAAATATGTAAAAAAATATATTATAATTTGGGGATAATCTTGCAAATTGGTGAAATGATAATAGATAAATAATAAAATATAGGTTTAATCATTTCGGAGGTTCCTATTTTCGGGGAGAATCTCAATTTGGTCCTTTTTTTTCTCGACGTCTCAATTGGGTCCCATTTTTGTGAAAATTGCAACAATTCGGCCCTTGCCGTTAAATTGAACCCAACGGTGTCAGTGTCTTGTTGACGTGGCACGCTGGAATGAGTTTTTAATTGACGTGTAGGGGATACTCCGTCTGACGTGTATATTTATATTTTTTTAAAAACAAACAAATGGAAAGTAGGATTTTGGTGTTTTTGATGATGGTGCTAAAGACGGGAATGGTAGTCGCGGAGGTGGCGGCTGGGGAGAAACCCACTGACCCCGGCGGTGGTCATCGACGGAGTCTAGTGGAAGCAGAGCTCTTACCTTTTTCCATGGCAGCTTTAATGGCATCCAAGAGATTCGTTCAACATGTTAATTAGGAATTGGGATTGGGAGAAGTTTGTCTTGACATTGTGGAGTTCTTGTAGGGTTCGTGCAAGGTTCAATCAATTTCACAAATTGGAGTATGAATTTGGGGATTTAGGTTTTAATTGAAATTGACGTTGACAGAGAGCATGCAGGTGTCGTCTTCGTCGGAGTTGTGGGAAGAGTGGAGGCCCCTTCGAACCTCACCTCCAACCTCGCCCCTGTCAGCTCCCTCGGAAACACCGCCGGCAAACCAACCTGTGACAGAAAAGCTCGGAAGCGGGCCTTACTCAAAGCGGGCCCAGGAGATGTTTTGGGACTCTTCAGCTTCTTCACGCTATCCTCCAACATGGCCAAAGCCCCCAAATCCTCTTTCCCACCCGACAGCACCAAATGCGGCTGTTTCGGAACCAAAGCCGACCCAAACCGCGATGGCGCGTGGTAAAGGGAACCCGAACCAGAACCCGAAGCAAAAGGCGAAGTCGTTGTTCGCTTGCGATGGTTGTGCTGAGCCGAAAAGGGAGAAGCTAAAGAGGGCGAAGAAGAAGGAACAACAACGGGGGAGACAGAAGAAATGGGTTTGGCGGCGGAGTTGAAATTGGGACATGTGTCGCGCTTGAGGTGTTCGGAGGCGGTGCGTGAAGGGTTGGAGGCGGAGAAAACAGCGTCGCAGAAGGTGCAACGGAGTTTCACTTTGGGGAGTCTCGTTTCAGTGTTGTGAGCCAGTAAGAGTTCCAGGTGTGTCCAGTACCATGCGCCTTTACCATTCTCCTAATTTTACAAATTTTTTAATTTAAAAACTATCTTAATACACATCATTTATCCACGTCAAGCAAAAAAAGCAGTATAAATCAGTACAGTGTGCCACGTTTATCAGATATTGATGCCGTTAGGCTCAATTTAACGGCAAGGGCCGAATTGTTGCAAATTTCACAAAAATGGGACCCAATTGAGACGCCAAGAAAGAAAAGGACCAAATTGAGATTCTGCCCGAAAATAGGGACTTCCGGAATGATTAAACCTAAAATATACTGTGATGCCAGATATAAATTCACTGTGCCTGGCAAATTTAAAAATCTAATTGCCTATTTAATTATTCATTGAGCTTTTACAATCTTTTAAAAAATTGAAATCTAGTGGCACTTCTAGATTATTACTATTGTTACGAAGACTGAAAAAAGAAGTTTCACATTAATTCCACATTGACTTGTAGCAAGCAAGCATTATTTGTGGTGGTTCCCTTTTGACGTGAAGACCAACCATTTCCCTCAGTAAACACATCTTCGTCGTCTATCAAACATCATGAAAGATCAGGCGCAATAACTAAACCTAATTTCAAATAAGAGAAAAACAGTTATTGTTAGTTTACCTCAGCGATTCTCTCCGAGATGTGCATCTTGAAATCCTCTTCAACCCACTTGGTTATAATTCTCTCCCTGTTTCTGTTCCTAAACTCTGCAAGTGAAGCTGCTCCTACATATACCACACATGTCTGCACAGATGGATCCTTTTACCTACCCAACACAACATTCCAAACCAACTTGAATCTCCTTCTATCATCCCTCGTCTCTAACGCCACCCTCCACGATGGTTACTACCTCACCAACATCTCCCTTGGAGCCCCTGGTGAGGTCAAGGGACTCTTCCTCTGCCGCGGTGACGTCACCCCCTCCGTCTGCCACGACTGTGTCGCCGCCGCTGCCGACAACATCATACGCCTCTGCACCAACACTACAGAGTCTGTAATATGGTATGACGAGTGTATGGTGCGCTACTCCAACCTTTCCTTCCTCAACGACATAGTACCAAGTGTCGGCATGGGTTCCCAACAGAGCATTCCTGATTCCGATATTACTAGCTTCAACAATTTTCTTGCATCCGCGCTGAAGGGTGTGGTGCAGGATGCCGTGAATTCTCTTTTGGGTAGAATGTTTGCCACAAGAGAAGCGAATTTCACTAGCTCAATGACTCTGTACGCCCTGGCGCAGTGTAGGCCTGATTTATCCGCCTTCACTTGCAACACGTGCTTAACAGGCGCCATCACTATCCTCGGTGAAGGAAAACGAGGTGCACGCAACCTGCTTCCTAGTTGTAATGTCAGATATGAATTGTACCCTTTTTACAATGTTTCCGCCGTCTCCACTAAACCAGAGTCTCTTTCCCCATCTTCAGGTATCAAAGTTTTATACCATATTAACATGTACCAAGCTCGTGTGCAGTTCGTTGATAATTTAGTATTCTCTAATCAAATTAAAGTTTTACATTCAATATTTGCATTAAAGATCAGTATAATTAGAAGATTAAACTATACTTCTGGATATAGAATAGAACTGAAGGCGCTTAAAAGAAGTGAATCTCAGCTTTGTCCTTGTAATATAAACATGTCACTGTCTAAATTTCATTGACCTTGTTAATGGGGTGTCTTAGAAAGTGATTAACCTGTACAGGAAAAAACAATATCTCTATAATTCTTGCTATTGCCGTCCCAATTGTCGTTGCGGTGCTACTTTTCATAGTTGGCGTCTGCTTCCTACGCAAGAGGGCAAGCTATAAATACAATAACTCTTTTGGCCAGGATTCAAGTAATCTCTCTTTCTCCGTCAAAATGATTGTTTAGTGTAATCTGTCTCACTTGCCTTTCATTTGGTGGCTGATGATTACTATCTTTCTTTGCTGTGTAGTTGTGGAAGGTCTTAGCGATGGGGACTCCTTGCAATTTGACCTGGCTATGATTGAAGCTGCCACGAACAGATTCTCGGATGAAAACAAGATTGGCAAAGGTGGATTTGGGGTGGTTTATAAGGTATGAAACATGTTTTCTGAGTAACACATCATAATTCGTTTTATGATAAAGTAGTTAACTGGTTTATTCCAATGCTTGTTTTAGGGTGTCCTACCTGATGGACAGGAGATAGCTGTGAAGAGGTTGTCAGTAACCTCCTTGCAGGGTGCAGTAGAGTTCAGGAATGAAGCCGCCCTTGTGGCCAAGCTTCAACATAGAAATTTAGTGAGACTATTGGGATTTTGCTTGGAGGGCCAGGAAAAGATTCTTATCTATGAATACATACCAAACAAAAGCCTTGATTACTTTCTATTCAGTAAGTACCTTTTGTACTTTTCTTGCATGTGACATCTCAATTAGTGCAGTTATTGATTTTCCTCAACAGACTAATATGACACCTCATAAACAGAGTAACTTCATTGAACATAGTTGGAGGATTCATAGTTTGTGTAAATGGAAATTGTTGTAATTTCGCTGTTATAATCTGAGTATTTCATTTTGACAAATTTTGTAGATTCTATGAAGCAAAGAGAGTTAGATTGGTCACAACGCTACAAGATTATAGTTGGCATTGCTAGAGGAATTCTTTATTTACATGAAGATTCTCAACTTAGAATTGTTCACCGTGATGTCAAAGCTAGCAATGTTTTATTAGATGAAAATATGAACCCAAAGATTTCTGATTTTGGCATGGCAAAGATTTTCCAGGCAGACCAGACTCAAGTAAATACAGGAAGAATAGTTGGGACTTAGTAAGTCCAATGTCTTTATGTTATCTCCACTTGCATACATAACTTATGTTATACAGATAGTTAGTTAAGTTCAGCGGGAAAAGGTGTATTCTTTCCAGAACTTTTGCTGTTTTATTTTTCCTAAATAAGGGGATTATATTGTTGTTTCAGTGGTTACATGTCTCCGGAATATGCAATGCGTGGTCAGTTTTCCATGAAATCGGATGTGTTCAGCTTTGGTGTCTTGGTCTTGGAGATTGTGAGTGGCAAGAAGAATACTGATTTTTATCAATCGAATCACGCTGATGACCTCTTAATCTTTGTGAGTATAAGCAATAGTAATAGTAATTTCTTTCCTTCTGCTCTGCTGATGCCATAGGTAGCTGCAATACCTATAGGTACAGACTCTCAGTGGGTGAGGAAATGAGGCATTACTAGTTTAAATACTAACATTATACTACTACAGGCTTGGAAGAAATGGACAGAGCAAACACCAATGGAGTTTGTGGATCCAACTCTGAGAGGTTCTTGTTCGAGAAATGAAGTAAACAGATGCATCCACATTGGTTTATTATGCGTTCAGGAAAATCCATCAGACCGACCATCAATGGCCACAATTGCACTTATGCTTAACAGTTATTCAGTGACCATGTCAATGCCACGACAACCAGCATCTTTCCTGCGTGGAAGAAATCCTAACAGGTTTAACCGAGAGCTAGAGTCTGATCAGTCTACCACCGATCAATCTACCTCCTGTTCAATTCCATACTCTGTGAATGAAGTATCCGTCACTGAAGTATATCCTCGCTAAAGGATTCATTTTAAGTCTTCTTCCATCAATCTAGTGTAATCAATTTTATCAACTACTGTATCTAAATTAAAGCATACATCTTTTATCTCATCCATTTAAGTGTCTCCTTGAGATATTTCCATTTTACACATCATACCTTTAAACAAACAAAAAAAAAGTAATAAAGGCAAGTCCTTTATTTTCTTTAAACAACTTTTGTACACGTATATCCTACTAAACTTGTTATTAATTATATATATATTTTTTAAGAAAATAGAATCTCTAGATATGACTAAGTCTTATGTATAATACATGTTCGAGTTTGAAGTCAGCGAAAATGTAATGATGACGCAAACGCGGCCGTGTAAGCTACGCGTCGGGAAAGGCGCCCTCCAAATCATATGAGAGCTTCATATTAACCACAAAGGTTTTCCACTATCATAATCTAAAAAGATAAGCTGCAGAATTTCTCCTATTAATTATTCAATCCAACATGCTAGCCTCCAACTTCTGTACAACCTCGTTAACACTTCAATTACTATGTCTGTTATGCATGCTTTTTCTTGCATCTGCATCAGCAGCCATTTACAGTGCCCACTACTGCAGCAATGAAACCTTTTACTCACCCAACACCAAATTTCAATCCAACTTGAATACCCTTCTCTCTTCTCTTGTTTCAAACTCCTCCCTTCCCTCCAACAGCGGTTTCCTCCGAACCTCCGTCGACGACATTGACGGCCGTTTCCTCTGCCGCGGCGACGTCAACCCGACCGTCTGCCATGGCTGCGTCGCCGCAGCAGCAGCCAACATAACTCGCCTCTGTCCCAACGATACCGAGTCCTACATCTGGTACGACGAGTGTACGCTAATCTACTCCAACAGCACCTTCGACAATGATGACATAGTTCCCGGGTATCCCCTCAACGACGAAGGAAGCACCGTTAACTCAAATCAGGACCACTTCAACCAATTACTGTCGAACTTGTTAAACAGTTTGGAGGGAAAAGCTTTGGCGAGTTCCATGGGAGAGAAGAAGTTCGCCGCAGGTGCGGTGAGTGTGACGACCGCGCAAACGCTGTATGGAATGGCGCAGTGCGAGCCAGACTCAACGAGTGGTCGCTGTGAGGCGTGCTTTCGAAGCGCAATTGCAGCTATTCCATCGTGTTGCAACGGAAGCGGAGGAGCAAGGCTTCTGCTTCCCATCTGTAGCATCAGATACCAACTGCATCCTTTTCTGTACAATTCCACCATGCTCATTCCTTCTTCAGGTATATGCATACTATATATATGATCGAGTATGAGTCTTCTCCGCTAACCAAAGTTTCTTGTGTAGTGTTTTTTCTCTCAATAGTCCTAAAACGTTTTGAATCAGTTCATTGATATCTTTTTCAGTATATTTTTACACACATAAAATTTTTACATTTATTTAATACTATCATTTTTTACTTTTTATTTTTTTCTTTCTTAAAAAAAATATAATTATATATTAAACGAATATAAAAGTATGTAATATTACCATTACTCTTATGTACTGTTTTTATAGTCTTTCTGCTTTCGGTTTATTATTTAATTTTGATATGTTGTATAGTGTACAGATATTTTTTAATAAATCTAGAAGAAATAATCGCAGTTATATATCTTGTTTTAACATTCATTCCTTTTTTATCTAAAGAAATTATTTTCTTTTTTATCTTTAAAACTTTTTGCCAATTTGGTCATTCCAAAAACTGTGATTATTTTTAATTTTGAGTCATGAACGAAAGTACATGAGTGAATTTAATGATACAGGTTTTTGTTTCAAAATTAAGAAAAAAGTATAATTAAACAAATTCAAAATAATTTACATAATTTTTTATAGGATAACGTATAATTGAATGATGGTGTAAAAGAGATTAAAATTGTCAAGTAATAGTAATTTTTATCAGTTTACTAATGTCATTCTTAAGTCAACCTTGTTTTTGCGGTCTTTAAGGAGGAAGTTGGTTCCATTATGTTGGGGCCACATGTATTTAAGGATGATAGTATAAATAGCATAATTCTGTATATAATTGTTTTTTTCTTTAACTTCTATCTAATCAACAATAAGATTTTTTGTTTAAATTTCTGAAAAAAAAAATATTTATTTTGGTTTGTTTTCTTATTAATAAGTAGACTCTATTAACGTATTGCTAATTTTTTTTTTAATTTTTTATCATAATATTTTTTAATACGAGGATTATAAGTATAAACAAGGGATTTAATGCATATTCTTTTTCAATATTCATTCCACATCATGTAATACTTGTTTTAACTTAATAAATACGAGTAATAAAATTGACACAAACAATAAAAACAAGTGAAACATAAATATTTAATTTATCAAGTATCTAATTTACGAAATTTAGTATTTAGCCTAAGCAAAAATGAAACTTCAAATTTATTTAGGCTCTAAAAAAAGTTCATTGTGGTTTAAATAGTATTTGTTTTCATTTTCATGTTTTTAAAAGAGGTTCCTTGGAGAGGTAGCAAAAGTACATTGATGATCGTGGCAATTGTTCTCCCGATTGCTATTTTGGCGCTGTTCTTGTTCATAGGATGCTGTTGGTGGCGAAGAAGGCAAAGAGAAAACCGTGAGGATGTCCAGGACGTGAATGATAGCCGTAATATTTTTTTTTCTTTCTTTCTGAAGAAAATAGAAGTTGAAGTTGTTGTCCAGTCTGATAATTTATGTATTTCAAGGCTTGAACAGTGTGCTTATTTTTGCAACTACTATAACTTCGTATTGCTTTTTAATGCAGTTAGGAGATATTTGACTGAGGAAGAGTCTTTGCATTTTGACTTGGCTACAATAGAAGCAGCCACAGATAGTTTCTCAGATGAGATGAAGATAGGAGAAGGTGGATTTGGGGCGGTTTATAAGGTATATGAATTAATTAATAAATTTCTTATGGTAAAAGATACAGTGTGTAGAGCTGTGGTAATAATGTGAAGAATGGTTTTAGGGTACCTTTCCTAATGGAGAAGAGATAGCTGTGAAGAGGCTATCAAGAACCTCCCTCCAAGGTGACAGAGAATTCAAGAACGAGGTTCTACTTATTGCTCAGCTTCAACACAAAAACTTAGTTAGACTGTTAGGCTTTTGTATGGAGAGAACGGAGAGGATACTGGTTTACGAGTTTATCCAAAATTCCAGCCTCGACCACTATCTATTTGGTTTGTTATCTTCAAACCTTTTCTTCTGGCTATACTGTTGGAGATATTATATGAACTAATTGTTCTTAGAATTGCAATTTTGTTTAAATTGTAGGTCACGAAGACCATGGAGTTCTAGACTGGGCAAGACGTTACAAAATTATAGTTGGGATTGTACGTGGAGTTCAATATCTCCATGAAGATTCTCGGCTAAAAGTAATACACCGCGATCTCAAGGCATCTAATGTTTTACTAGATGCCGATATGAATCCAAAGATTTCCGACTTTGGAATGGCAAAGGTTTTCCATGGAGATCAAAGTCAAGAAAATACAAGAACAGGAAGGGTAGTTGGAACTTTGTAAGTTAAATGTAATTGTAGATTATGGTATACCTTATACCAGCTGAAAGAATTGTTTCTGAACAGGAATATCTTTCATTTCCCCGTTTGAAAATCTTGCGTGTTATTTACTGGAGTCTACGTGTTAACAATTTTTCTTTCTTATTTATAGTGGTTACATGCCTCCAGAATATGCCATGCATGGGAAATTCTCAGAAAAATCCGACGTGTTCAGTTTTGGAGTCTTGGTTTTGGAGATCCTTAGTGGCAAGAAGAACACAAGTTATTATCGATCACATGAGGATAATGATGACCTTCTGAGCTTTGTAAGTTTTGAACTACATTTAACATGTTTTGGTTTAGTTATGTCAGATTCTGCGGAAAAGGCCTGGAGGAAAATATATTGGAATTTTAGTTGTTTAGTCTAACTAAAGTTTTGGCACAGGCTTGGAAGACCTGGATAGATCGAACACCGTTCCAGATATTGGATCCAAAACTGAGAGGTTCTTATTCTAGAAATGAAGTTCAGAGATGCATTCATATTGCTTTATTATGCGTTCAAGAAAACCCAGTTGAGAGACCATCAATGGCGACAATAATGCTTGCATTGAACGCTTATTCAGTAACTTTAGGGTTGCCCAGACAGCCAGCATCTCTTGTGAGAGGAAGAGTAACAACAGAGAGATTAAGACACCAGCATGATTCTGATCAGTCCAACAGTTCTTCAATCCCTTATTCTGCTGCTGATTCATTAATCACTGAAGTATGTCCTCGTTAAAAAGGTTGTGATCAATATCAGTTAATTGAACCCTTCTATAGTATTCTATAAGCAACTATTTCTATGTGATGAAATGAATAAATTCACCAACTTTAATTGAGAAACAAGGTGTTTCATAAACTATAGTTTGTATATGACATAATTTTTTAAACATATTTTATTTTTCAAGTAATCGAATGGATTTTGTAACACGTATTATCTTTGTTTTTCCACTCTGATGATTGATTTCTATATTAACTCAACGATAACATAAAGTTAAAAATGATTTTTATATTGATTTAAATCACATGATCATGTAGTTTTCTTTTAGTCAAAGATATTAAGAGAGAGCATAAATTAAAAACATTCCGTTTGTGTCGTTTATTGATGGTGTAGAATAGAGATGACTTGATAATTAAAATTAATAATTCATTCCTTCTCTCTTCTTAAAGTAAATAGTAATTGGTTGACTTGATATATTCACGGTCTTATTCATCGTACGGCCATTAACTTATTCTGGTTCTCACTAATCTTGATATAGAATGTGAGTATTTTCTATACTGTTCAGTCCAAAATCCGTTTTGAAAATTAATGTAAAATATATATAAAATAACCAATTTAAAAACCTTTTTTTTAATGATAGTATTGTTTTCTATTTTCTTCATTTCTTCATATAATATATAAAAAATAAAATGATTTTATTCAAATAAACGTGGAATAATGCTTTACAAATCATGTTTTTTCTTCCAAAAGTTTTGAAAGTTTATCTATTTGAATTTTAAGTGTGAGTATAAGTTTTATATTGTGTAGAAATGAAAAAACAAAGTATTATTATATAAAAATTAAGATCCATTAACCTATAGTTTTTAGATTCTAGATAGAAAGTGATATCAATCTCTCGTATAAACTCAGATTTCATTAATATTATATCTTTCTGCTAAATTTTTTTTCGTTAAATTTGATACATCTCACTCTCTTTTTATATTGGTGAACATTTATCTAACATTTATCTGTCTAAACCACCAAACTAATAGATTAACTCAAATAAAAACATAAAAGTATTATAAAAAAAATACTATAGAAGTTTATAACATAAAAAAAAATTAAAAGTTTGAATTGGAATATTGTTTATTGCAAATCTAAATGCTATTTTGTAATAAAAAGGTAAGACTTCACCTCATCATAAATTTAATTTAATTAATTTCCTCCACATCTAATTAAAAATGCATCTCTAATGTGTTTGCGAACACCAATCTCACTGGTAGCCAACACGAACTTCTTTCATCTCAAATATGGCTTATTTTGCAAACTATACCTTTATAGTACATATCCTTTGTACGTATTTTTCTATTTGATATATATAT